TTTTTCTCACTGTCTCGTTTCCTTTGCTGTGCAGAAGATTTTAATGTGACATAATCTCGTTTGTTGATTTCAAGTTGTTTTCTCTTTCTGCCTTCCTTTCTCCTTTGTCTTTTCTTTCTTTGGTACCAGGGCTCGAACTCATGACTGCACGCTTGCCGGGCAGGTGCTGTGCCACTGGGCTAAATCACCAACCTCCTTTTTTCTTTTCTTTTGAGACAGGGTCTCCTTATGTAGCTCATGCCGGCCTTGAACTCACTATCTAGCTCAGGCTGGCCTTGAACTCATAAATGATCCTCCTGCCTCCTCCCAAGTCATGGGATTATAGATGTGCGTGACCAACTTGGAGTTATTTCTTCTGCTTTTGGGGTTCTTTTTTTTTTTTTTTTTTTTTTTTTGCTTTTGGGGTTCTGATCAGAAAGTTCTTGCCTGCATCTATGTTTTTAAGAGTTTTCCCTGTTTTATCTTCCAGCAGATTGCTTGTGTTTTAATATTTTTATCTCTCTTAAGCCAGGTGTGGTGGTGCACACCTGTAATCCCAGCACTCAGGAGGCTGAGGCAGGAGGGTTGCTGTGAGTTTGAGGCCAGCCTGGGCTACAAAATAAGTTCAAGGCCAGCCTAAACTGCACAGTGAGACCCTGTCTCAAAAAGACTAAATAAATAAATAAAATATTTATTTTATCTTTGATCCATTTTGACTTTAGTACATGGTAACAGATTTGGGTCTAGGTTTAATCTTTTGCACATATATAGCCAGTTTTCCCACTGTAAAATTCATTCCCTTTATTTTTCTTTTCTTTTCTTGTTTCTTTGAGACAGGATCTCATGATATAGTATAGGCTGGTCTTGAATTCACTATGTAGCCCAGACTGACCTAGAACTCTTCCTGCCTCAGCCTCACGAATTCTGGGTGTGTGCCACCACAGTCGACTCAGAATTCTTAATTATATTGTTAACATAAAAACATTTCCCGGGCTGGGGATTTAGCTCAGCGGCATAAGTGCCTGCCTTGCAAGCAGGCGGTCGTGAGTGCGATCCCTGGTACCAATAAAAGAAAAAAAAGACAGAAAACATTTCTCATAATACACACTCTTTTCCTTGTAATGCCAAATTAATTGATTTTTCCTGAGTGGTTATTGTTTGGATCTTTTGAAAGTTAATTTCAGCAGCAGGGATGTAGCTCAGTGATACAGCGCTTGCTTAGTATGCACGAAGCCATGGGTTCAGTCCCCACAAGGAATGAATTCCATTCTGGGAGAACACTGGCAAACTGGATTCATTCATAAGTCTGATAGTGAGTCTCACACACCTTTGACGCAGATGGACCGTATATGTTGCTTTGTGCTTCCTGGCAGTCCCCTTCATATGGCCACTTTTTTCTTGCTGTGGACATCCTGGACTCTGACTGGGCACTAAGTGCACAGGGGTACAGCTGGGACAATGTTCCCATGAGCCACTTCTGTGATTCGTTCATGTCTGTGGATGTTCTTAATGCAAGGCCCTTTTGTATCTGTGGAAGTTCTTAACTTGAATGAGTTGGGGACTTACTGTATTACAAAAAAAGGTTCGTTGGGGATTTGCCTTAGTGAGAGAGTGCTTCCTTAGCATGTGCAAGGCCCTGGGTTTAATTCCCCAGAACTACAAAACAACAGCAAAACTTTACTACAAAGGTTGCTAGAGTCTGGATTTGGACTATTCCCCGAAAGGCCGTGTGTTAAAGTCCCTCAGCCTGAGGAGCTACTGAGAGGTGGCAGCATCTTTAGTAGGTGGGCCTAGTGGTCACTAGGTCACTAGGGCATCTCCTTGAACCACATATTGGGACCATGGCCCCTTCCAGCTTCTTTTGCTTCCCAGCCTCCAGGAGCTGAGTAGCTTTCTCTGCCACATGTGTCCCCACTATGACATCCTGCCTCGCCACAGGCCCAAAAACAATGGCGTCCACTGGTCATGGACTGAAGCCTTCCTCTTTAAATTGATGATCCCAGGTACTTTGTCACAGTCATGCAAAGCTGACTAACACGATGGCTGTAAAGAAAGATTTTCATCTCTAACGTTACCTTTGTAAATAGCCAGCCTCTAGCCATAAAGAAGAGCTCGCTCTCCTTGTCTACTTGTTTATCTATATCTCTGCGTGTGTGTGGTGCTGGGGATTGAGTCCAGGGCTTCATGCCTCTAGCCAAATGCCATGCCACTGAGCTACACTTCAAAGTAATAATGGGCCAGAGACTTTGATGGATACCTTACAAAAGAAGATCCATAGGTGGTAAGGAAGCATATGTAAAGATGCCACAGCTGGGTGTGGTGGCATGTGTCTGTAGCTCCAGCTACTAGGAAGGCTGAGGCAGAAGGCTTTCTTTTCTTTTTTATGGGTACCGGGGATCGAACTCACGACCACACACTTGCAAGGCAGGCGCTTATGCTGCTGAGCTAAATCCCCAGCCCTATAAGGCTTTCTTGAGCTCAGAAGTTTTAGGCCATCCTGCACTACAAAAGTATGATAAAAGAGGAGGGAGAGAAAGAGACAAAGACAGAGAAAAAGAAGGAATTCTATACATCATAGGCCATGAGGGAAAGGCAAATTAAAACAATAATGAGATACACTACACACCTATTAAAATAGACAGAATCCAAAAGGATCTTACACTTGCAGGGAGAATGTACAACAATGTAGTCTCACTCCAGGCTGGTGGAAAGTGGCACAGCCACCGTGGCAAACAGTTGAGTAATTTCTTACAACATTCAACAAACACTGCCTATACTTACAACCCAGCAGTCACACTCCATAGTGTTATTTACCCAGTGAGTTGAAAACATGTCCATACCACGCATATGAATGCTTGCAGCAAATATCTGGGTTTTTTTTGGGGGGGGGGTACTGAGGATCGAACTCATGACCTTGTGCTTGTCAGGCAGGCACTTGTGTTGTTGAGCTAAATCCCCACCCCTGCAGCAAATGTCTTAGTCACATTCCTCATTGCTGGGACAAAATACCCGACGCTCACAATTTAAGAGAGGAGAGGTTTATTTTGGTTCATGTTTGAGTCTGTGGTTGGCTGGCTCCAGGGCAGAATGGCATGGCAGAGGGACTTGGTGGAAGCATAGTTGCTCACCTCGTGGTGGTGGGGTTAAGCCCAAAGGGAAAGCCAGGGAAGGAGATATATCCTTTCAGGTCACTTTCTCAGTGTCTCTGTCTTCTGACCAGGCCTCACTCCTAAAGTACCAATGAGTATGGCACACCCATGATTCAGTCACCTCCCCAAAGTTCTTCCTATGATTGCTTGAGGCTTGAGGGGACATCAGGTATAAACCATACCAGCAATTTTATTCCTGCTTGTCCAAATTTGGAAGCAACCAAGATGTCTTTCAAAAAATAAATGGCTAGATTGCTGCATCCCACCATGGAATACTATTCAGTAGAAAAAAGAGCTATTAAGCTGTGAATAGATGTGGAAGAAATTTAAATTCTTGCTAAATGAAAGAAGCCAATCTAAAAAGGCTGCATACTCTGGAACCTAACTATATGATGTCCTGGGAAAGCTCAGCTCTGGCAGGAAACCTTCAAGGTTGCCAGGAGTTTGAGAGGAGAGTTTGATTAAGACAGTGAGACTGTCTTGTGTGACACTGTAATAACACACGTTTTTGCACATGTCATTACACGTGTCAAAACCGACATAGTGCACATGGAGGTGGGGGGACAGCTCAGTGCGCTGCATTTGCCTAACATGCAGGAAGCTCTGGGCTCCCTCCCCAGAACTGGAAAATAAGTAAATTAAGGGTTTTTGGGGTTTATTTTTGTTATTTGAGACAGGGTATCACTTTATAGTGCAAGCTGGTCTCCAGATCCCTATGTAGCCTGGGCTGATCTTGAACTTGTGGTGTTTCTGCTGCTTCAACATCCCTAGTGCTGGGATTATAGGTGTGTTCCACCATGGCCAGCAAACTATACCAATTAAGTTAAAAGTACAATATAGGGGCTGGAGGTTTAGCTCAGTGGCATAAGCGCCTGCCTTGCAAGCAGGCAGTTGTGAGTTCGATCCCCGGTACTGATAAAAAGGAAAAAGACAAAAAAAAAAAAAAAAAAAAAAAAAAAAAAAAAAAAAGTACAATATAAAGAAACCCTAATGTAAGCTATGGACCTTCAGCTAGTGATAATGTACCAATGCTGACTCATCATTACATTAATAAGTAAAATTATCAATCTTTTGTTTTGTTTTGAGATGTGGGCTTTGCTAAGTTGCACAGACTGATCTCAAACTCCTTGGTTCAAGCTATCCTCCTACCTAAACCTCCTAAGTAGTTAGGGATATTAGGGACCACTGTGCCCAGCTTATAACATCTTTGAAAAAAAATTTTTTTTCCTGCCGTAATACACAAGTATTGAATCCAGGGTCTTTGCATTGAGCTACATTCTCTACCATGTTTATTTATTTTTATTTTAGGACAGGGTCTCGCTAAGTCACTGGATTCAAACTCGGCAATCCTCCTACCTGTGAGCAAAGTTTGGGATGGCAATTTGGGAGTCTTGTAACAGTCTGCTTCGCCAGGTAAACTGCTTGGGAAGTGGTGTCTTAAATGGTTTCTGTGCCCCCAAAGCCCTACAGGAGCGCAATAAATGATAGATGAAATGAGAAGACGTCGAGGCAGGAGGTCTGAGGAGGGTTTGGAGATGACGCCATCTCAAGGCCCGGCTCAGAGGTGCGGGCTTCCACTCGAGCCTAAAGATCTCAGCCTCAACCCCTGAAAATAGAAACCAGTAGCAAACGTAGAGGGTCCAAGATTGGCTCAGTTTTAGAAGGCGGAGCTAGGTGGGTGTATCTGACCCTGTCCGTCAACGGGCCAATCACCGCCTCAAAGGGGCGGAGATTTTAGTAATTTTGCCCCTCCCTTTGGAAGAACATCTGTTAAGGCGCCGTTCAAACGGACCAATGAAAGCTCGACATTCCTGTATTTGCTTCTCACCCATTGGTCGGAGGTCGTCGTGCCTTTCCGTTTTGTCCCGCCTCTTGTCCTACCCCTTCGCATACAAGATGGCGGCGCCCAGAGGAGTAGAGGCCTCGCTTGGGGTTTGCTGAAGCTCGTTCCCTTTCCTGCTCGTTTTTGGGCGCCAAGCACTGCGAGCAGGAGGAGGGGGGCCGGGCGGGGACAGGGGCATCTGCGTAGCTGGAAGGGGAGCCCTCGTCCAGTTTGCGCCGCCCCCACCCGGTCCCGGCCCCGGTCCCGGCCCTGGTGGTAGGATCGCTTCTCACCCGTACCCGTCCTCCTCCAGGTCTGACCCATTACCTGGCCGTGGTACGCTACACCAGGCCTCCAAGGCTAAGTTTCTTCCGCCAGCCCGGGCTCGCCTTCGCTTCAGAGATGTTCGGCCTCTTCCCTCCCCACCAACCCGCTTTCAAAATCAGTACTCTTGGAGCGGCGCCTGGGCCCGTTTGCCTCTACTAAGATTCCACTTCAGTCCACTTCTTCCTTAGTTCTCGGGGCCCCCTTGGGGCTGTTCACTTTCGTTCCAGATGATTGCTTGACACCCTGCAATATTGATAAACTTGACAGCGCCCTCGACTCTGGAGCCAGCCTTTTCCCACTAACCTCCATACCCTTATCATGGAGGCTGTGTACCTGGTAGTGAACGGGGTGGGCCTGGTGCTGGATGTGCTGACCTTGGTGCTGGATCTCAACTTCCTGCTGGTGTCCTCCCTCCTGACGTGCGTGGCCTGGCTGCTGGCCTTCATCTACAACCTGCCACTCACGGTACTGACTAGTCTTCTGCAATTGGGCCGTGGCGTTCTGTTTTCACTGCTGGCCTTGGTTGAAGCTTTGATAAGGTTCACCTTTGGAGGTTTGCAGGCCTTGTGTACCCTGCTGTATAGCTGCTACTCTGGCCTGGAGAGCCTAAAGCTCCTGGGGCACTTGGCCTCCCATGGAGCTCTGCGGAGCCGTGAGCTCCTGCACCGGGGTGTCCTCAATGTGGTCTCCTGCGGCCATGCTTTGCTGCGCCAGGCCTGTGACGTCTGTGCCATTGCCATGAGCCTGGTGGCCTATGTGATCAACAGTCTGGTCAACATCTGCCTCATTGGCACTCAGAACTTCTTCTCCCTGGTGCTGGCCCTGTGGGATGTGGTGATGGGGCCTTTGTGGAGGATGACGGACATCATGGCTGCCTTCGTAGCCCACATTTCCAGCAGTGCTGTGGCCATGGCCATCCTCCTTTGGACCCCCTGCCAGCTAGCACTGGAGCTGCTGACCTCAGCTGTCCGCCTCCTGGCCAGCTTCGTGCTTATTAATCTCACTGTCCTGGCTTTGCTGGCTTGTGTGCTGGCAGTGACCATGACTGTGTTGCACCCGGACCTCACACTGAGGCTGGCCACCCGAGCCCTGGGTCAGCTCCATGCCCGGCCATCCTACCACCGGCTCCGGGAAGATGTCATTCGGCTGTCTCGCCTAGCACGGGGATTGGAAACCTGGCGCCATGTCTGGAGTCGCAGCCTACAGCTGGCAAGCTGGCCAAACCGAGGTGGGGCACCTGGGGCCCCTCAAGGTAGCCCTAGGAGGGTGTCCTCAGCCAGGATCCCAGGACAGGGCCCCCTTCCTGAAGGAGCCCCCATGTCAGAGGCAGAAGAGGAGGTGGTCAGGATCATCAGAGCAACACCTGCCCGGGGCCGGGAGAGGCTCAATGAGGAGGAGGCCACAGCTGGGCAAGACCCATGGAAGTTGCTAAAGGAGCAGGAGGAGCGGAAGAAGTGTGTCATCTGCCAGGACCAGAGTAAGACCGTGCTGCTCCTGCCCTGCAGACACCTGTGCTTGTGTCAGGCCTGTACTGAAATCCTCATGCGCCACCCCATCTATCACCGTAACTGCCCGCTCTGCCGCCGGGGCATCCTGCAGACTCTTAATGTCTACCTCTGAGGATGCCCTCCCTGCCCACCACCCTCCACACTCCGCAAAGGCACCTGCGCTAGGACAGCATCAGCACCCTGCATCCCATCCTGCCCCCACGGCTGTCTTGCCAAGCCTCAAGCCATTCATCTGGGGACTTGGTTGTACATGGGACAGTCTGGAGGACTGCACCTAGATGGGGCAGGTTAACTTAGTTGGCTGTTCTTGGGGGGGGGGCAGTCCCTGTAATGCTGAGGGTGATGAGTATGTCACTATGCAAGGGCCCTGATACTGTTGGCTATGCTCTTCTCTGGCTGACTCAGGGCCCACTCAGATGCCAGCCTCAGGGGCCAGCCCCTCTCTGCTTCCAGTATTTGTGTTGAGGATTTGTAGGTTCTTTCCCTGCCTCCTTCCCATCATGCCCACTGCCCCAGCTTTTGCAGCCATGTCACATCAGTGTCATTTGTGTATTTTGGCAAATCAAGGGCCTTGGAATGATCTCAACTTGTGTTAAGCCAGAAGCCCTCGGCTCTACTAGGTTTGAGGGTAGAATCTCTCAGGTGCCCTTCGAGCCACTTTTGCCTGTCATGATCTTTGGAGGCTCCTTCCTGATCTGATCAAAAAGCTGGGATCAGGCATTTACCCCGGTGGGGTGTGGGTGCATCTTACTTGGCTTTGGGACCATATATCCTGGGGCACCTGAGCTCCACAGGGAGCCTCAGGAGAGGCTCCACTCACTCCCCTTCGACTCCCCACATCACATGAGACAGTGACATTCCTTGTCTCTCCCTGGCATTGGGGAGATACTGGCATATTTCACTAGGGTCCAAGTAGAGGGAACCAGGACCTAGGGGCATGCAGCTCTGAGGGGTCTGCCCAGTTTCTCATGAATAAAGTTAGGTTGACAGCTCTGACTGTGTGTGCATCCCTGTGGGAGTTGGTCAAATTAGAGACATGGCAGCAGGGTCTGAATCCTGCTGGATTAATGGTAGAAGTGTGCTCTTGGGGAGTGCTGTGTCCAGGGGAGAGAGAGTCCATGCCAGGCAGGGCTGGGTTATCTCTTGCCCTCTGATGTGTCCTTGTGATCACACAGTTGTGGGAAAGCCTTCCCCAAGTCTTGTGTGTTTTGTTTTGTTTTCTTCCCAGAGTCATCCTTGTGGGGCAGAATGTGAATTTCTTGACTCTGGAGTCTGCCTTCCCAGGAGGAGACTGGGGACCTGGCTGCCTTGAGTCAAGTCCACCCTTTGATCCCTGTAGGAGCTGGTGCTTGTCTTTGTGTCTCTTGGCACCGAGCTGGGCACTGTGAAGGGCTGGAGAATGGCTGAGGGACCTGGTGGGGTGCAGGGAAGTGGCGCCCAGGAGGTCTGAGGCCTGTCTGGGGCACTTGGGGCTCAGTCCCATTGATCAAAGCTGCCCTCACATGACCAGCAAGAGGAGGGCACCTCCCCATAATTGTATGTTGCATCTAGGAGGGCAGAGTCTGGGACTGTCATTTGAAATTGGGAAGGAGGAGGATGAGTATTGAAGAGCTCAGAAGAGGCCCTTCCACTTGGGTTGAGAGGCTGAGCGGACATATGGGAGACCCTGGTTTATTGGTTGGGTTGAGGGCCGGACTGGGCTCTGGAGGTGGCACAGGAGGTGAAGCCGCCCAGGAGCTTTGAGGCTCTGCTTACTCTGGCCGTTCCTTCCCCCAGCCCTGGACAGGGAGCCGAGCAAGGGGAGGCTTAGCTCCTTCCAGTCTCTGTTTAATGTGGACATAAACATTTTATGAGGTTAGATAAACTTCCTGAGCTGGGAGTGAAGGACCCCTTTTCCTCCACCCCCCATCTGGAATTCCTCTGGCAGACTTTAATACCCTGTCTCCAAACCACCCCAGAAATCCCGAGTTTAAGCTCCCCAGTCATTGGCAGCATTCTGGAGCTGGTGGGCCCCCTGGTGGCCATCTCAGAAACTACGTAGTACAAGCAGGGAGGACACTCACCTGGAGCGGGTGTGGGACCAGGCAAGCGGCCAGAGCAGCTGTGAATGGAAGGAAGTCCCAGGTTGTTTCTTGCTGGGTCAGGGCAGGTGTCTGGATGGTGAAGGCAGCCCCCACCAGGTGTGGCATCTTTGAGTTAGAAATGTGTGCCCCTTTTTCTGGGTGGCTAGTGCCCCTCACCAGGAGGGTACACCCACCCCCAGTCAGTCAAGAGTACCCCAGCGGTACTCTTGGTCATGACCCACATACTCGGCGACAGCTCTGTAGAGCAGCCTCATTCCCGAGCCTGAGTCTTGGGTCTTCTGCCCTGTGACTCCATGCCGCCTTCTGCCTGTGCACCTAACCACCATTATCAGAAACAGGGCATCCCCATTATTCACTAATGGAACACTGAGGCCAGGAGGACGTTTTTTTTTTTTTTTTTTTAAGATGTATTGAGTGGTCTCTGAGTAAAGGGCCGGCCCTGGGAGCAGGAGGGATGGAAGAGGAAGGGGAGGACCAGGAGGAGAGCACCGCACCTTGGAGTCGTGGATCTGAGCAGCCAGGGACCCACACTTGTCAGTACAGCGGGCTCCTGTCTTGGGCTGAAATACAGCCCCATGCTAATTGCTGTTTTCATTTCTTGCTGGCAGCAGGCCTGAGGCCCCCCCCACTCCATTTCCCTAGTCATTCACAATATTCCAGGGGGGCCAGCCCTCCCGGATGTGGGGTCAGTGGTGGGCCCTCTTCTAGAGCCAGAGAGCTCTACGCGAAGACTGGAGAGCTGTGCCAGTCGGAGTAGACGAGAAATCCGGAGAAGGTGCTGTCTGTCTTGACGCTCGCATAGATGCCAATGTAGTCCCCCACGCCCACCTGCACCCACACCTGGTCCTCGGGCTCCAGTCTCACCATGGCGCCCCCTGAGAGGGAAGCTGGCTTGGGCCAGCCCCCGAAAAACTGGAAGAAAGAGGCGATGGACTCGCCGTTCTTGACCAGATCAAACTGCAGGCTGGCCCGGTAGACGGTGGCGTGGACGGCAAAGTAGTAGAGCCCGGGCACCTGGCAGGTGAACTTGCCGGTGGTGGCGTCGTAATGGCCCTGCTCGTTCACCAGCACGCGGTCGAAGGGCAGGGGCGCGTCGGCCGGAGGCGGCACCCGGCTCTCCGAGCGCTTGGCGCTGAAGGCGGAGCGCGGGGGCACGGAGCACTCCCCGGCAGGCCCGGCCGCCCCCACGGGGCCTGCCTCTCCTCGCGGCCCGGGCTCCCCCCGGGGCCCCGGCAGACCTGCGCGGAAATGGCGCGGTTAGGGCGCAGAGAACCGCCGGCCACCGCATGGCGGCGTGCAAGAGGGGCCCCCACCCGTCGTCTCTGCGCACCCCTGGGCACCACCTCCCCCGCTCGGTGCCTCCTTGCACCCGGGTACTTTGTTCCCGCTTCCTGCAGGGCTCGGGAAGATCTGGGGGGTGGGGCAGAGAGGGTCCCCGGGGCGCGGGGCGCGGGCTGAGTCACCCCTTATGCGGTCCGCAGCTCGGAGGTCGGGGGAGCAGCGCCCCCTGGCGGGAGCCCCGACGCCTGCAGGCCAGGAGGCCACCGAGCGCCGGGGCTGCAGGACCAGGGATTCCCGGACCGTGCAGAAGCTGCCTTTTGTGTTTTTTGTTTTGGATCTCACGCTTGCTAGGCAGGCGCTGTGCCCGGAAGGAGCCTTCTTACCTGGCCTCCCATCCTCGCCTTTCTCGCCCGGAGCCCCAGGCATACCGTCGCGGCCGTCGCGGCCATCGCGTCCCGGCAGACCCTGGCTGCCGTGCTGGCCTGGCGTGCCCGGAAGGCCGGGGTGCCCCGGACACAGGCTGGGGATCTTGTTGTCGTCCAATGGGGCCGAGCCCGATGCCAGGCCCAGGAGCAGCAGGGCGAAGAGCGGCCTCATGATGCTGGCACCTGGAGCCCGAACCCCAGGAGTCTGTGGACTGGGCAGGACCAGAGTGGGGACCCAGAACCCCGGGACACGCCTGGCTCCCCACTCGCGTCCCACCCCTGCCACGCTCCTAGCCGAGGTGCCGGAGGGCTGAAGCCACAGGGGCCCCTGAGCCAAGGAAAGGAGAGGCCTTGCCCACCCCTGCCAGCGCCCAGGCATCCCACAGCCTCCCCCCCCCCCGCCAGACTCACCCCTCCCTTCTCCCCGGCTGCTGGTGCTCTCGATGACCTCCTTTGGGGCGCGCTGTCCGGACACCCCAGCTGGCCCTGCCCCCGCCCCCGAGCTTCTCCCTGGCCGAGCACCCCGCTACCCTCCGGTCCCCTGGTGCTGCCCTGGTTTGCTCCCTGCCCACTCCGCTCCTCCCAGGCTCCAGAGGAAACCAGTTGTTCAGGGCTCTGGGCCGGGAAATAGCAGGGAAATAACTCGTGGTGTCGCCCGGCGGGCGGCCAAAATTTGGGGGGGAGAAGCGAGGGGGAGGAAGACTTGAGCTGGGCACTGAGAGGCTAAACCGTGGGAGACACTCAGGGCTCCTCCTGTTCCCAGAGGCGGGAGGGAGGGATGCTGCCGAGACAGACGCCGGGGACAAGACTCTAGTTGGGGACAACTGGACCAGCAGAGAACCCACTGGACCCCGGGCTTAGAACAGGGCATGCCACATCTGCGGGCACTCACGGCAGTTTGTTAGCCGAGAAGGCTGAAGGGCAAGTGATGGAACTTTAAAAGGCCGAGGGAAGAGGGGGAGATGGGTCAGAGGCTTGATGGGAAACCCTCTAGACTGTTCAGTGGCGGCCCACAGGGCCTTCTGGCAGATAAAGGGGCAGGGAAGGAGCCTGAGGGTGGGGGTGTTCCATTAAGCTGGGGTTGGGGAGCTCCTCCTCTTTCTCCCTGGGAGGCCCCAGAGAGGAGCCAGTCCTCAGCAGAGGTCCCCTTCCTTTGCTCCCTCCCTTCTTGCCCGTACAGGCAAAAGAGGCAGGACAGGCAGAGGACGGGAGCCGGCTTCCGAGTCAGGGCTGGGCACACGCCTCCAGGCCAGCTGCCTCAGGCAGCCTGTTGCAGTTGAAGGGCCAAGGGGTGCCCAGTAGGGCCAGGCCGGACTGACACTGGCGCTCCGCCTCCTGGCAGACCGACCTGCAAGGGGGAAGGATGCTGCCTATGGGGGTGCAGCGCGGCACCAGCAGCCCGCAGAGGAGCCTCCGGAAACTCTGGTAGCAGGGAAGGCTTGTCAGGCTCTGTAGGAGGAAAAGGTTGGCCTCAGCCACTTTTCCCCAGACTTCCTCCCTCTTCTGCGGCCTCCCTCCTGGCCTCTGCCTCTGCGCAAGCACCTTGTAGCCTCTGAGGATGTCCATCACTTCCTCCTGGGTGGCCATGCCCACCCAGATGTTCGGGAAGGCCGTGGTGTTGTAGCTCAGACCTGTGCACATCTCCACCCTGATGGGTTCACAGGCCAGCACTGCAGGGGTGGGAGAGGAGGGTCACAGTGGGACAGGCCACTTTAGTGCTCTGGGGCCAGAGGGGAGTGGTTGTGGGAACCCGAAGAGGTGGCAAGGAGAGATGCAGCGTGAGAGGACCCCTGCCGTCCCCACCAGATGGCTCCTAGCATCAAGGAGTGCACCTCTTTGATCTAAGGGAACATGTCATGGAGGGAAAATTCTGGAAGAAACCTCCCTTTTCAGGTGAGAATCTCACCTTCATCTCTGAAGTGGGCCGTGGAGGGAGACCCTATGTGTAGCCAGATGGCTGATTCCCTCCTTAAAGGCCCAGGCACTGTTTCGTGGAGTCCTGTGTCACTCTGAGGTGACCCTAAGCATCACTGCCTCTCCTGCTGAAAGCCCCTCTGACTCTGTGAAGTCTGGCGTGTGAGGCCCAGCTGGCTCCCCGCCCTAATCACGGAGGAGGCCAGGGGAGGTTGGCCAGGGTGCTTGGTGGGATTTCTGGGAGTTGGGCGCTCAGTTTGCCTGAGGCTGTGGGCCTGATTCCGGGTGCCAGGAGCAGGCTCCTCACCTGGGGGTGGGAACAGGAGGCTGCTGCAGTTGTCCTTGGTGCCATCTGCACAGTCTCGCCACCAATCACACATCCACTGCAGGTCGCTGCACCCACCGTCCTGGCAGAAGAGCTCTCTGGGCCCACAGGGGTCTGCAGGCACAAGGGGCATGGCAGTACCCAGGGCCGTGCCTCTCCTCCACTGCCCTCCCCGTGCCTTGACCAAGTCCAGAGCCCACACCCGCTCACCCAGGAGCACCTACTCTCCGTGGCATTCAAGGCCCGGTAGCTAGCTGAGAAGCCTCCGCCGCCGAAGCCGTGATCTGTCCTGAAGAGCACAGCTAGCTCCTGGCTCGAGGAGATGAGGTGGGAGGGTGGCTCTGCTCCACAGAACCTGCCCCGAGCAGAGAGTCGACCTGGGTGCGGCCCCTGACCAGCTGCTGGGGCTCTGAGCTAGGTGCCTGCCACCCAGTAGTGATGGATGAGAGACACAGTCACTGGCTCATGGAACTTAGGCTTTGGTGGGAAGGACCAACACATTCAGTAGACAAAATGTGACCGCTAGCAGTTGGGTCACTTGGGATGGGGGAAATCAGGGTGTGTGGGGAAGGTGCCGATGGCCCACACAGTGGCAGGATGGAAGGGGCGAGGGTTGTAGGGGGACTCCTGAGAAGGGACCATTAAGTGTCCGCCATTCCCCTGGCTCCGTACCTGCCCAGGAGGCTGAGGGCCCCGGAGCCTCGGATCTCGTACACCTCCACATAGTCAAACTTGCACCCCTCCTGTGCATCCAGGCTGAAGTTGAGGAACTGTAGTTCTATCCTGTGTCCCACTGGCACTGAGATATGCCAGGTGCAGAGCTGGGGGATGGCACGGACAGAGTAATTCCTTGGGGTCCTTCTCCTGTCCATGCTGGGCCTCCCCTGGCCACTGTTCACCTAACTCTGTCCCTGGGGCTCTTAAGGTGGGAAGGGCCTTTGAAGCTCTGGTCTCAGAGATGGAGGAGTTGCCCAGCATGGGTAGCTGGGTACACAGTAGGTGCTTAATAATGTTTCCTGCTTGTTTGCTTGAGCTCTGACCTTCCCAGGTGCAAAGCAGTATCTGCTATGCTGTTCTGGTCACACTAGCCTGGGTGCCGAGATGTCTTCATCTGAGCTGTGCTCCAGCCGTCCCCTGAGGTATTGCACTTACCTGGTGCTGTGGGTACTGCTGCAGGTGGTTGGGAGTAGAAAAGATGCCCTGGAGCCCTGTCAGATTCCCCCCACACTCTGGAGAGAAACAGAGGCGCTCATGAGTAGCCAGGACCTCTGCCGCCACTTGAGGCTGGCGGTAGTTTTGGCCAGGCTTATGGGTAAACACATTCTAGGTCAAAAAGAATGACCAGGCAGGGAATGCTGGCGGGAGCTCTGAGATTTGGGGCTGGACCTGAACTGGGAGCCCAGCCAGAGCCTGGATCCGGTGCCTGGAGATGCCACCCTCTCTGCACCTGGCGGGGCCCCTACCAGAGAGTGTGGCACTGCAGTTGGCCTCATCACTGCCGTCCGCACAGTTGGCAAAGCCATCACACACTGATTCAGGCAGCAGACAGATGAGCTGGTCACAGGGGAACTCGTCCTGGGCACAGCTCCCTGGGGGCGGGTATTGGGGCTCAGAAACCTCCTGGTCTCCACCCTTTTTATCAGTGCTGGGAGCGGCTGGAGAGGAAGTAAACAGGCCTGGGCATCTGGGGAGAGGGAGGGGAGTCGCTTACCATGCCCAGGGGCCACAGCCTGGTACCAGGCTTGAAAACCAGATGCTTCCACGCTGCTGTCAGAGACGAATGTGACCCGGAGGCGGCTGGTGTTGGTGTTGAGCGTGGGAGGAGGCACCTTCCCACAGACCCTGCAGGAAGCCAGGTTGGGAGGGATGAGGGGGTCTGCCCAGCCATCAGGAAGCTTGCCTGGGCCCTGCGACTGTTTCCTGAACCCCTGGAGTGGTGTCAATATGACCTGAAAGGCTGCTTTAATTTCCTCGAGAGCTCTGACCTCCCTGGCCCCTGCACATCTAGCCCTACAGCACTTGTTAACAGGAAGGACAGGAGGAGATCGATTCTACAGATTAGGAAACTGAGGTCAGAAAGGAGAAGTGTACTTTCCTAGGCCACACAGCAAGGCGGTAGCAGAGTGGGTGCCCAGTCCAGCTTTCTGCTGCAGCTTCCTGGTTCTGTCCTCCTGATAGGGTCAGGAGTCTCCCTAGGGTAGAGGGACCCACCTAAGGAGGGGGCCGTCAGGCTCTGGGGAGATTTCCAATCGATCAAAAAGACAGGAGGACACGCTTTCCATGCTGAGTGCTTCGATCTTGAGCTGTATCGTGTGGTCTGTGGCCACCTGAATGTGCCACATACAGTGGGCATTGGGTGGGTAGGGGTCTGGGTAGTTGGGGCTGCTGAAGAAGCCTCTTGGACCAGGAAGGAGGCCCCCACAGGCTGCAGAGATAGGGGTGAGAGTTCAGAGGTCAAAAGAGGAGCTGTCCTTTTCTTCTGGACTGAGCCTCTCTCTGGCCTTCTTCCCCGCTGCCACAACCTCAGGACTTTTCTGGAAGAGGTGTCTTTAGTACTCACCAGCCTGGTGTGGGGGGCTCATGCCTGCCTCCTGCTGCTGTGTAGATGCTGGGGAGGTGGTGGTGCTGGCAGGGGTGATGCTGGTGGTGGACCATGGGCGCTCTGTGGTTCCAGATGGGGGTGCAGCCTGCAACTCTGGGGACAGGAGGATGGAGTAGTAGCATTCAGTGGTGTTGGATCCTTGGGCACGGGGAGAGCGACTCATGGAGCCTTGTCTAAGGTTCTCCTCCCCAGCAGCCCCAGGTACTTACGGGCCAGGATAATGGCCACCAGCAGCCCGAGCAGCAGGAGCAGCAGCAGGATGAGCAGGAAGACACAGAGCCAAGAGAAGTGGCAGTCTGGTGGCATCCTTCGGTGATGCCGGCCTGTGGGCAGGAAGGGTGGGGTTTGGGGAGCCCCCTTCCCTTGGGTATCCCTCACACTGTCCTCAGTTCCTGGGCCCTGTCCTATGGCCAGGCCACCCCTGAGATGATTACCGTGCCAGGGAGCTCGGATGCTGTAGCTGGCATCTTGCAGGAAGGCTGAAGGAGGACCAGGTGGTCCTGCTTCGGGCTCGAAAGCAGGATTGCAGAACTCAGTCTGGGAGGCAGAAGACTGGAAGCTGAGGGCAGGTGTGTCCGTGGAGGACACTGGGTGTTGGGACAGGGGTTCTGTGTGGCCCTTACCTTGCTCACCTCTGTCACCTCAGTGCAGCGAATCACATCTGAATAGTCCTTCATGGCCCAGGACTCTGCATCGCTCTGTGGAGTCCTGGTGACAGCCCAAGACCCCCACAGGCCTACTACTTGGCCACAAGGCCCCTACCAAAGGACTTACTCCCCAGGGAAAAGGGCTACCCCCTGTGGATCTGTCAGGGCTCCCGGTCACTCTGTCTCTGTGTGGAGGAAGGGATGGCAGCCAGAAAGAATCCACAAAGGCATGAAATGGTCCCTTAATCCAACTCAGCTGAGGGTGCTGAGGTTAAGACTCTGGCACTGGTTGGCAGCTCTTAAAGGTGCAGGCAGGGGCTGTGAGCAGCCGCCAGAGGAGGTCAGGTGCTCGTGGGGATGTGAGCAGGGTGCTTGTCACCCAGTTCTTCCTCACCCTAGGTACTCAGTGAGTTCCTGGGGAGCTGTGAGGGTGGAGAACATGAGGCTGCTTTTCAGGGATCAGGGAGCCCGAGGTGGTCTGAGAAAGAGAGAGAAGCTTGGCGCAAGGGTTGCCAGTTCCAAGGTCTGTGCATCTTATGGGCCTTGGCCAAAGCCAGCTGCTCACCAGTCCCCCTCATCGGGGTGAAGGCGGCTTTAGCCAGGCCTGTGTGACCTGTGTGACGTGGAAAAAGAAAGAAGCCATTACAGGAAGAGCTTGGTGTGAGATGGAGGGGTTTGCTACCCATCCCGAGGACCTCCAGGACTGCAGGAGGAAGGATAGAGCGGGGAAGGTGCCCAAGAGCGTGGACAGAGCGGGTGAAGAGCCTGGCGGTCTCGGCTGTAGGAAACCAGCACTGCAGAGGAGATCACCCCATGCCTCTTTCTCCAGGAGCAACATCCTGGTGGAAATCCCAGCCTGGCTCAGCTGTCCTTAGACAAAAAACAGACTGCTAATCTGTTTTGAGTTGGCCAATCTTAGGCTGAGAGTTGGCTAGGAAGAGGGTATGCAGGCTGCAGAAGACCTTCCGCTATGATGTGTAGACTGTGGGTTAGGTTTTAGGGCCTGGGGAGATGTCCTTTCATGCCACTTATCTCCTTGTTAACTCTGTGAGCTGTCCTATTTACAAATGACAGCGCTAAGGTTCTGAGGAGCTAAGGTGCTTCCCAAGGTCACGCAACCAATAAAGTACAGACAAGAGTTGAACCCCGAGCTGGCCTAGTGATGCATGTCTGTTATCCTCATATTCTGGGGGGTTGCTGATGCAGGAGGATCAGGCCAGGCAACTTAGTAACTTAGTAGACCTTGTCTCAGAATAAAAAACAGGAAAAGGGCTGGGGATGTAGCTCAGTGCAAAAGTCCTGGGTTCAACCCAGTACTGGGACAGCGTGCCAGAGAGCCAGAGAGAGCAAAAGAACGACAGGGTACAGATTTTGTGACCTTGAGGTGGCTTTCCTTGCACTCAGGAGAGATTTTCTACCACCCCCTTTAGCGTCCGCCCTCAGGAGGCCTGGTCGCCCTGGTCTAGGGGCTGAGTCCTGCCCTGAACCTGGAATGGAGCCTCACAGCGCTTGGTCTTCAGGGAAGACACTTTGGGTAGTTGTGAGGACAAGCACTCTCAGGGGGGCCAGGACAGCCCCTGGCCACCAGGCACTTCCCACCCGGCTGGAGCAGGCCAAGCTGGGAGCGGAGTGGGCTTACACGGAGCTCTGGGCGCTGAGCTGGGGCCACCTACCTTGGTCTGTGAGCTGTGGGTTGCCTTTCTCGGGCTCATTCACAAGCATCCAGTGTAGTTTTCCAGCAGTTCTGTGATGTGTGACATGGTGACACGCTGAATACAGACAGCATGAGCTTTCAGCTGTCTTCTCAGATGGGAAGGAGATTTGCAACAACACAAAAGCTGCCTTCCATACAAGTTTTATTATTTTAAGCATATTGTGATATAAAAATTAATTAGAATATTTGTTTCTTTTGATTTTGATGTTTTTCCTTTGGTTTATTTTTTGGTTTATTTTATTTTTTTGAGGCAGAGTCTTGCTGGTAGCTCAGGCTGGCTTTGAACTCACGCAATCCTGCTGCCTCAGCCTCCCAAGTGCTGGGCTGACAGGCCTGCATTACCATGTCTGGTTCTAATTTCTTCTCTGTTTTGTCCTTTTTTTTCTTTAATTGGTACTGGGGATCAAATGCACAACCCCGCACTTGCAAGGCAGGTGCTTATGCCGCTGAGCTAAATACCGAGCCCCTCTGATTATTTATTAATTAAATAATTTTATGAAGTTTTCATGGTTCCTTTTGCCAGTGATTTCCAATTTCATTGCATTTTGGTCTAGTAATACGCATGGAATAATTTCAAATCCTTTGCATTTTACATAAGCACGTTCTATGAGCTGGTATGCGGTCTATTTTGGAGAATGTCCCATGTGCATCTGAGAAGAATGTGTGTATTCTGATGTTGTTGGGTGGAATACTCTATAGACATCCACTAAGTCCATTTGTTCAAAAGTTTGGTTCAGTTTTTTTTTCTGTTTGTCTGAGATAGGGTCTCACTATCCAGTTCAGGCTGGCCATGAGCTCACTTTGTATCCCAGGCTGGTCTCAAACTTGCAATGGTTTTCCTGCCTCAGCCTCCTGAGTGCTGGATCATAGGTGTGCACTGCTGTCCTGGCTTGGTTCAGTTCTGATATTTCTTTGTTGATTTTTTTTGTTTGTTTGTTTAGTTGATCATTTTTGTACCAGGACTCAAACTCAGGACCTGATGCTTGCCAGGTGCTTATGTCACAGAGCTAAATCCCGGCCTAGTTGATCTATTTGTGACAGTGGGGTATTGAGATCCCCCAATACAATTGTATTAGTGCTTATTTGATTTTTCATGTCCACTAATATTTGTTTCATATAGTTGAGTGCATTGGTATTTGTTATATGTATATTTATGATTGTTGTCTTTTCTTGGAGTCTTCCTGTTACAGGGGTTATGGATTAAAAACTGGTGGTTGACTTAACACCAGCTGAACTAAATCGGCTTGGTAGTGAGTATGGATGGTCCACTTGTGGAGTTACCAGCATAAAAGACGACATGGAGAGGAAGAGTGGGACACTGTGGGTTTCTTAAGTGTCATTGTTGGGAGCCATTGGTTCTCCTGGAGGGGCTTGTCCTGCTGGCTTCCCCATTGTGAATTCAGCTATTATCATTGGAGGAGCTCAGGACCTTGTCGCTGAGGATGGCTGTGGTTCACTTTGGGGGAGCTCTGCTTCTTACACTGAGCATCGCTTCCTGGCTCTGGAGGGGAAGATGTGTGCTGTTTAATCTCCAGGAGAGGCCAGGAGTGGTGGCACACACCTGTAATCCTAGCACTTGGGAGGCCGAGGCTGCAGGATTGCCATGAGTTTGAGGCCATCCTGGACTACAAAGTGAGTTCAAGGTCAGCCTGAACTGTATAGTGAGACCCCATCTCAAAAACAAAACAAAGTTTCCAGGGGAAGCTTGTCACGCTGACTTCCTGACATGTCTGTTCTCACTGAGGAGCAGCTCAGGACTTCACTGTTGCTGACAGCGGCTGTGGTACGTCTTGGTCACCATCATTTCAGAAACGTCAGGTGTGTGGCTTCTAATGTCTTCTATGTCTATGTGTCTCTGGTCCTGACCTCGAGTGTCACTTCTTGGCTCCAGTGCAGAACCATCAACCTACTGGCACAGATGCTTCACCCCGCTGGCACAGACTTTCCAGCTTCCACCGTTGACTTTTGGGCCTTCCCAGAGCAGATCCATGAAACAGACTGGCGTGAGTCATTGTCCTGGGCTCTAGGCCTCTGGCTGGACTCATGGGAGGCACTGTCATGGGCTCCAGGTTTTCAGCTGGACTCATGCAGGACATTGCTGTGGGATCCGGGCCCTTGGCTGGATTTTCTACATCTTTGGCGCTGTGGACAGATTTCCTGAACTTTCTTGTATTTAACTCTGGGTGGCCATCATAAAATAATATCATAAATTCTGTGTCCTGAATGTAATTGTTCTCCTTGCAGCCCCTGACTACCACAACAAGGATGTGGTGACCTTCTTTGCCTCTCTTAATTAGCTGTGGTTTGAAATTCATTTTGTCTGAAAATAGAAAATCTACCCCTGCTTTTTTCAGGGTTCCTGTTACATGGATTATTGTTTACCATCCTTTGACTTTCAGTCTGTGCATTTATTTTTGAATTAAATGTATTTCTTATATGCAGCATATTATTGGATCTTGCTTCTTTTTTAATTTTAAAGAGAGTGAAGCAAAACAATAAAATGAAACAAAACAATGAGAATGATCTTAGATTTAAAAAACAAGACTGTAGGAAATCAGCGATGGTTTACTGTACCGTAAAAACACTGCTTGCTTTTGGGTAGGAAGCAGATATAGGCGTGCAGAGTTAATCAAACAGTATGAGCCTTAAGTCGTTTCCTTACTTCAGTCCCTATCATCTCAGCTGTGTGGCTTCTAATTTCTTCTGTCTGTGTCTCCTGGACTTGTTCTGGGGGGCTGGGGGGCTGAGACTGCGCTTTGCTCCTTCATCTTGACATTTTTTTTTTTTTTTTTGTCTTTTTCTTTTTTATCGGTACTGGGGATCGAACTCACGACCACACACTTGCAAGGCAGGCGCTTATGCCACTGAGCTAAATCCCCAGCCCCCATCGGGTTCCTCCAAACCAGCTGGTGGCTGAGTCCTAGGCACTTCCGGCACTGGCCGCTGGTCTCACGGACAGGGAATTGGGCTGGGCAATTGGGTTCTTCTGATCTGAGGTTGAGGGGGGGCGTGGAGAGGTGTGGAGTGGCGGCTCACCCGCACTCCCCCACTCCCCCATGGCGGCAGGGCCTCAAGGCTAGGCACAGTCTGTCTGTCCTGCTCTGAGTTTTCCTGTAGCTGGGAATACCCTTCCTGTTCTTTACGCCCAGGGCCAGCGCTAGGGGTACGCATCAGGTCCTCTGCGCCCAGCTCCAAGTCTCTTAGATACATGTCTTCCTCTCCTTGTTTATTGTCACTCTGGGTTCCTCCATCCCTGGTTCCTAGATCTCCTTTTGTCTCCAAAAGCCTGGAAGGCAGTGGCTCAATCATAACCAGCTCACTGTCATCTCCAAAAAGGGAGACACCCCACAGACCAGAGGCGAGGAAACTCAGGCCTTGACTCAGTATCCCCGCTTAGTGGCCCTGCCTCCCTAATTCTGTGCAGTTTGGTCAAGCGATGCTTACTTCGCTTCCCTAATCCTTCCTAGGTATGTGTTTTGGGAGAAAGGAGGCAGGATGATCCAGACAGGCTGGGGATTGAACATCTTCTGAGGGTCACCCACACGAGCAGGTCAGTAAAGCTCTAATGGTGCCATCTTGGAAATGGAGGTGGGAGAGAAACGGGCATTTGTTGAATACCTACTATGTGCCATGCTCTGATTTTTTTAAAAACAGAATCTTGCTGTGTAGTCCAGGGTGGCCTTGAACACACTAGGTAGTCCAAGTACTTGGCCTCAAATTTATTTATTTATCTTTTGGCTTTTTTCCAGTACTGGGGATTGAGCTCACAACCTCACGCTTGCCAGGCAAGCGCTTATCCCCAGCCCCTAGCTTCAAATTTTATTTTATTGTTTTTAAATTTTATTTTGAAAGTAGTAAAATACAACAGAACAAGACAGAATAAAGCTAACCAAGATCGTACAGTGAAATTGGTACAGAACTTTGCAGCAGGTTACCGGGATAACAGTAATAGGTATCACAATATATTTTGTTGTCTTTACAATAGTTGTTCTTTCAATCACGTATATCAAAATAAATGAAATACAGAACATTATAGAACTTACCAAAACAGAATACTGAATAGAGCAGTACCATTAATCAGAACAGAGCAAAACAGTAATAAAAATATTTGCCTTCAAAGAGATGGTAGAAGGAAATCCCCCTTATTTGCTTTGGTCAGCCTCCCAGGAGATGCTCAGATTTCTGGTTCCCATTTGCTAATGGGGGGACAGGGGAAGGGGGGGAGGGGAGGTGGGATGTTTGACTCTAGGCCGTGCACCAGTAGGTTCACTGTTGCTTAGCAGGGAGGCAGGCTGGTTGCTTGGTTTCCCGGCTTTGTAGGTTCCAACATGATGTGGAATTTCAGAAGACACTGGTGGTTCTCCCCCTGGAGGGGCCGAAGTCAGCCACACCTCAGCCGCTTACCAGGGAGGCGAGCTGCTTGCTTGTAGCCTCAAATTTATAATGATCCTCCTGCCGCAGCCTCCTGAGTGCTGGGATTCTAGGTGTGCATGCCACAACTGGCAGAGTGATGGTGACTTTAAAAAGAGGCACTCAACACTTAGGGCTGTTAACCCTCAAGAGCTCCGGAGACCAGCAGCTGAAGGTCAGTGACACAGCTGGCAGTCAGCTGAAATTCGCTGGCAGTGGCAGAGACAGCAGCTGGCAGTGTTGACCGACACAGCCCAGCATCAACTGGTGGCGGTGGTGGCATCAGGGCCCAGTCCCTAGCAGTCAGGGCTGAGGGCCGGCGGCTCTGCTAGCAGACCTGTGCCTTGCTGCTTCATGATTTCTACTTGAATGGAGCAAAAGAATGCTTCGTTTACTGGCAACACAGGAAGAAGATGTAGTGTTTTTTTTTTTTTTTTTATCAGTACCGGGGATCGAACTCACTACTGCCTGCTTGCAAAGCAAGTGCTTATGCCACTGAGCTAAATCCCCAGCCCGAGGATATAGATTTTGCTGCTGGATGTGGCCTTCCTGTGCCCACACCCTCACTGCCAAAGTGACGGCCTGGACCAGGTGGCCTCTCTGGTCCCAACGCTAAAGATTTATAGAAAGAAATAGGATTTTTTTGGGCACTGATCACTTAAAAAATTCTGTAAACTGGAACCAGGGAACTATAGTTATATAAGTCTCAATTTTAACATATATTTGGAGGAAAAGAGACTTGGAATAAAAACACTGCTTGCTTTTGGATAGGAAGAAGCAATATAGTGGAAATGGCCATACTTCCAAAACTGTTATACAGATTCAGTGCAATACCAATCAACATCTAATAGCATCTCTCACAGAGTTAGAGAAAACAACCCTAAAATTCACCTGGAACCAGAGGAGACCTAGAATAGCAAAGGCAATTCTGGGCAACAAAGACAAGATGGGGTATCACAATCCCTGACTTGAAATTATAGTATAAATTTACTGTGATAAAAACAATGTGGTGGGGGCCAGGGATATAGCTCAGCGGCACAAGTGCCTGCCTGGCAAGCATTAGGTCGTGAGATCGATCTCAGGTACCAAAATAAAACAAACAAAACAACCACCCCCCAAAAAGTGTGGTACTGGCAAACAAACAAAAAACCCCAACAACAACAAAAAAAACAAACAACAGACTCAAAGATCAATGGAACAGCTTCGAAGTTGCAGAAACAACTCCAAACACACTCAGCCACCTTATCTTTGACAAAGATGCCAAACACATTCACGAAAGAAAGACAGCCTCTTTAATCAATGGTGCGGTCGTGATTTTGATCCCTGGTACCGATTTAAAAAAAATCAATGGTGCTAGAAAAACTGGCTCTACACATGCTGAAGATTAAAACGGAACCCATATCTCTCACCAGGCACTAAGCCAAAATCAGAATAGATCAAAGATCTTAATATTAAAACAGAAACATTAAGTTTGCTAGCAGATAGAGTAGGCAAAACTCTTGAAGACACTGTGTAGGCAAAGACTTTATGAACAAAACTCCAATTGCACAGGAACTATCGCAAAGAACTAACAGCTGGGATCTCATCCTATTGAAAAGCTTTTGCAGAGCAGGAGAAACCACTAACAGAGTGAAGATACTCAGACAAAGGGTTGCTATGGAGAGCATATAAAGAATTCAAAAAAAGCAGTTGTCCTAGATTTAAAGACTCAACCCAAAAATGGGCATCTGAAATAAATACACACGTCTCAGATGAAGAACTACAAACAGCAAATAAATATATGAAAAAATGTTCAACATCACTGGTCATTTGTGAGATGCAAATTAAAACAATGCTGAGATTCCACCTCTCCCTGGAAATAATGGCTACTACCAAGAAATCAACCAATAATAAATGCTGGAAGGACTGTGGGGAAAAAGGAACCCTTCTCCACTATTGTTGGGAGTATAGACTGGGGCAAACACTGTGGAAATTCCTCAGAAAATGAAGATTGGAGGTCCCATTTGACTCAGCTATTCCCTTCCTGGGGAATCTTCCCAGAAGCATTAAAAACATTGTACCATAGTGATATACGTGCACCTATGTTCATAGCAGCACAATTTGAAATATCCAGATCTTGGAAACAACCTAAGTGTCCATCCACTGAGAAATGGACAAAAAGATGTACTTTTATAGAATGGAGTACTACTCAGCCATAAAGAAGGATAAGCTGGAGGAAGGATAACTGGATACAACTTGTAATATTCATAAGTGAAATAAATCAGACACATGTGTAAACATGTTTCCCTAGTGTAAGAAGTGAAACAAACAACACTATGTGTATGTATATATATAAAAAGATAATTAACATATCTGGGTGGTGGCACATACCTGTAATCCCAGGTTGAGGCAGGAGGATCATTGCAAGTGGTTGCATTTTTTTTGGTCTTGGTCTTTTTGGCAAGGATTCTCCTGCCTCAGCCTTCAGAGTGCTGGGATTACAGGCGTGTGCCACTACACCCTGTTTGAGGATTGTTGCAAATTTGAGACCAGCCTGGGCTATAAAGTGAGCTCAAGACCAGTTTGAACTGTGTAGTGACACTGTTTCAAAAAGACAAAAAAAAAAAAAAAAAAAAAAAAAAAAGAAAAAAAGAAAAAGAAAAAGAGATATCTGAGTTTTTGGAAAAGTTTGCACTGATATTGTTTAGACAATTGAATGCAGACGTCTTGTGCTCTGGGTGAATGATTTGGGGATGACAATGCACAGTGTATATACTCTTTTTTTTTTTTTTTTTTTAGTGTATATACTCTTGTTGTCCCGATTGATGTTTTGAGAAAAATTTTTTTTTGTATTTGAAATAAAATGGACTTGAAACAAAACACTGCTCTCAGAGACCTTCAAGAACTACCAGCCTAATCTCCTTAATTTGTAGCAGAGGCATTGAGACCTGGCTAGAGGGACATTCTTGTTTTTGTTTTTTTTTTTATCCGTACCAGGGATTGAACTCACGACTGCCTGCTTGCAAGGCAGGTGCTTATGCCGCTGAGCTAAATCCCCAGCCCCCGAAGAGGGCCATTCTTGTTCAAGGTCATAAAAGAGGACCTTCCCTGGTGGAGGCCTGGCCAGCAGACACCGGATAAGAAATTCAAGTTGCCAGGAGCTGAGGGCTGATGACAACGGGGGTGGTAGTGGTGGTGGTGGACAGCACTGTTTGTGTCGGAGTCTGTAAAGCAGGCGGGCCTGTTGCCATGGGGACGAGAAAGCCCTGCAGGTTCAGAGCAAAGGGAGGCTGGGAACAAGGGCAGAGGTCTGAGCCCCTCCTATATTACTGACCCTCCCTCCCCCTCGATGGAAGACAGCAAAATGCACAAGCTGGCCTCCATCTGCAGTGAGAAACTAGTCAAAGGCAAAGCATAAGGGGCTGGGGGTTTAGCTCAGTGGTGTAAGCACCTGCCTGGCAAGTGCAAGGTCGTGAGTTTGATCCCTGGTACAAAAAACAAAAAAACAAAAAACAAAACAAAGGCAAGGCATGGTAATAACTTACATTTATGGGGCCACTGTCCTCCTGGCTACAGGTCAGTGTTTCTATTTCAAGGAGGCTCCGGTGACCTAGGGCTTGGAGGAAGTCATCAGCTTTTACGATTCTGAATCATGCCATTCTCAAATTAGGTCGAGGAAGTCGGAGTCTCTCAGGGAAAAGTCATAGAGTTTGTGTCACTGTTTCCATTCTTGGGAAATGCCTCTAAAATCCCTGACTGTCCCTTTCTGTGAGGTGGGCTTGTCAGCAGGCCAGAGGCCTCCGGTGACAGCAGGTGCTCGTCTCAGCAAGGAAGGGAGAGAGAGCCCTTTAATGTTCAAGACTTCAGGCGGTGGAGGCGAGAAGTCTCCCCAGGTGTGAGCTTTCCCGGTTCTAAGATCTGCGGCAAGAACAAGAAGCTAAACAGGAGTAGAAATCAAAAGGAAATCCAAGAGACAGTGTCTCTCAGTGTTCTGAAGTTTTTTCATTTTTAGTTCTAGGGATTGAACCCAGGACTTCCCAGAAAGCTACAACCCCAGCCCCATTAAGGATTTGAGGACCAGTTTGCGCTCAAACGTGTGCTCTTCCTATTTAGCCTCCCGGAGGGCTGGGTTAGGTGTATGCACCAAAAACATCAAGCCAAAGAGCTAATACTTTTAAGGAGTTAAATCTGAATCTTTTTTATTATTTATTTATTTATTTTCTTGGTCTTTTTTCATTTTTATCAGTACCGGGGATCGAACTCACAACTGCCTGCTTGCAAGGTAGGCGCTTATGCCGCTGAGCTAAATCCCCAGCCCCCCCCCCTTTTTTTGGTCTTTTAAAATCTGAATCTTAATAAAGCCTTTTAGGGGTCCAAGATGTGGATTAGAGTGCTTCTCTAGCAAGTCCCTGGGTTCATCTATTTTTTTTTTTTTTTACATCAAGAGTCAAACTTAGCTCACGCTTGCCAGGCAGGCATTTACACCACTGAGCTAAATCCCTGGCCCTCCTGGGTTCAACTCTGGGCCAGGGTGGGGGGGTGGGGGGCGATGGTAAACTGAGGGAACCAAATCTTTAACAAAGCTATTTCTCACTCTGGGAGGCTGAGGCAGGAGAAATGTGAGTTTGAGGTCAGTGTGAACTACAGAGAAAGTACAAGTTTGAGGCTAGCCTGGCACACAGGGAGACCCAGGTTCAAAACCAACAAAACTGACAACAAAAAAGAAAACCCTCAACACACACATAGTAGGTGTTTAAGTCTCAGCGGTGAAGCTAAGATCTTCATGAACAATCAGGCCCCTGTCACTTTCAGCCTGACTGAGCTGCTGCTTATGGTCCAGCGAGCTCCCACAGTGCTCGCATCTGCTGGAGAGGCCTGCGGTAGCTGGCTGCGGGCTGCACGGTGTCCCCATCTCAGCAGGGACAGCAGTACTCACAGCAGCCAGTCACGTAAAGAAGCACGGTGCCAGCTGTGAGACGGCGTCATGTAGGACCACATCCTTATTTAGAACGTGTATGCAGGGTCTTTGCAGTATGACGATGTATGATCCTCCTTAATGTGCTGGCCAAAATAACAACACATATACAAAACAATGTGGGAAATATGTAATTGGTGAATCCAGATGAAGAGGGTGTCCAAAATATACATCTCCTTTTTGGTTTTTGAGAGGGTTTGGTTTTGTAGCTCAGGTTGGCCTGGCACTTGCAGTGCTCCGCCCGCCTGGGCTCCCTGAGTGCTGCTGGGATCGCAGCCTGCGCCACCATGAGCAGATTTTTTATACGGAAGTTTAAACCAGGCAGGTAAAAATCTGCCAATCTGAGGACGTACAGACCGGACAAAGCAATGGAATACGGAATACGTGGTCTTTCAAATGCTCTGAGCTCGCCCTGGGGTCCCGCCCTTTCCAAATCAAGATTCCACCATTCACTGGCTTTTTTCTCAAAGCTATTTATTCTGTACACTAAACATTACACATTCTTCTACTCTTGCTTACATGGTAAACAAGTGCCCACCTGCCCTGGGGCTCAGGTTCACAGGTCTTCCCTAGAGAAAGGTATCAGGCCAGGTAAACTCAGGGTGTCCCTCTGGTGCCTCCCCAGGCACGCTGGGTGACCCGGGTCCGAGCAGCACAAGCCAGACCCAGCTGTGTGGCATGCAGAGGGCGCAGACCTCAGCGCTCGGCAGCTCTGCTCTTTGGGACAGCAGTGTTTTGTCTAATGACTGAGGGCAAAGTCAAGCCCATGGGGAAGAATCGTACGCAGAGGCCCGGCTCCCAGGGCAGGACCCATGAGCAAAGCTGAGGAGTGGAGGGCGCGTGGGCATCCCTGAGAAACTCCATCCCGAGGGCCTGTGTCTGGGAAGCTCTGAGAAGGGCAGGTGGCAGGAGGGCAGGGGAAAGGGATGTTACGGGCAGAATAAATTAAAGGGGAGAGAAGTTCTGGGGACGGGACTTGTGCTGTCCCCCAACAGCTGGGCAGCAGACCAGGGTAAGGAGGTGGCAGAGGGCAGGCAGAAGGTGGTGAGAAATCTTTGACCTGCTTCTCTCTGCCTCACTGCCACGTGCCACGTGCCAGGAGCTGAGGGCCAGGCCGTGTCCCCCTGGGGGCCTGGACATGGCACTGGGGAAGAGAAAAGAGGCTGAGGGATATTTCAGGGAGGGGCAGTTACCCCCCTGGTCCCCAAATGCTATATAAGGCACAATTATTGGAGGCAACTAGATTCCATCCAAACATTACAACAAAAACAAGAAACAAAACGCCCCAAAGAGTTATTTAGATCCCAGGTCTACGGTGCTGCCTTGGGCCGGGTCACACCCACCTAGCACCACGTGGGGGCTAGCCTTAGAAAAGGTGTACTCGAAGAAGAAAAAAAAAAAAACCTTAAAACAAAACACCACAAGCACCAGCCCAAGGTCCCAGCTGAGAGGAGGCGCGCGAGCGCGTCTCCAGTAGCAACGCTTTCGTTACAGTAATTTTAAAAATATCGGGCTTCTAAAAACCCAAACCAGCCTTTTTAAAAAAAGACGTTCCTTCCTCCACGCCGCCGGAGTCGGCAGTGTTAAGAGGGCTCTTGGCTCAAGGGTGCTTCCTACCCGGCCCGACAGCAAGTCCGCAAGTCCGGTGGGGACCGAGGCGGCTCCTCCGCGCTGCCGGGATCCAGGCGGCGACGCTTCCAGCAGGCTCCAGGGGGCGCTGTCCTCCCAGAAGGCGCGGGCCTGCGGGCGCTGAGGCTGCCGCGGACGTGCTCTCCCCGGAGACCGCCGCGGTTTATCAGGAGAAACCACAGCTTAAAAATGCAAACGGGCGAAGCCGAGGGAGCGCTGTGCCGCGCCGGTCTCTGTGTCCAGTTGGTCTTTCCTGCCAGGCGTGGCTCGGGGGCGCCCGGCTGCTTGCTCCTGACCCTGACCAGGCTGCTCCGCAGCTTTATTTTAGTTTATTTTTTTCTTATTTGTCAGGGTTTTTTGTCGTTGTTTTAGTCTTTTTAAAAAACGTAGGATGTGAGGCCACCGCAGGGAAAAGGGAAGGGATGTAGCTCCTCGCCACTACATACGAGAGGGCGGACTGGCCAATTCGTAGAAGAGCAAATATGCATCGCTGGTGCGCACTTGGCTGGAAGACATGGGTGTGACACTGCGGAGACAGCAGGGGAAGTCGGGAGGCGGGAGGGGCAGGGCGGGATGGTAAGGAGGCCGTTAGGCTCTAATCTCTGTGCCACAAACCCAAAGCCAGCCGTGTCTCCAGAGCCCCGAAGGGGCAGCACACAGGTGTGGTCCCAGCTTTGTGGCTGGACCATTGCTGTGCACTCAAGGTGGGACCACGAGCTGAGGCGGGCGTCGTGTCCGCCCGCAGTGCCCCCCGAGCCCTGTCTCACCTGGAGTCATTGAAGGTATGCCACTCGCCCGTCACTGGACTTCGGCAGTAGGCTGTATAGTGGCCACCCATGGTGGTTCCGGAGTGATTGGACACAGCGTACAGGTTGTAAACAGCGTGGTCTGAGGAGGAGACACAGAGGAGGAAGCCATGGAGGCCCTGCTTGTCTTGGGCCCCCTCCTGCCTTGCTCCCATCTCTTCCTACCTTGTGCTACTTCCTGCCACCCATCGCCCTCCCTCTGTGTCCTGGTCCTTCCCTGGCCTTCCCTTCCCTTCCTACTCGGAAATACTCACTGGTGTTTTCTGAGGCGAATTCTCTCAAGTCCAGGTCTCTTAGTGGGAAATTCACAAATGTTGAGAGCTTGCTGGTTCGTATCCTGGATTCTGAGAACCGCTTCAGGTCTGGGATTGATGTGAGTCAAGGGCACACAGTGCGGCCAGAGAGGCCAGCTCGTGGGACCCGAGTTCCACGGGGGCCACTGTACTTTCCTCGGAAGGCAGAAAAGCAAAGGCAAGGAAGTCCACAAGTTTTGTTTTTCCTACTTTGCTCCCCTCGCCTTTGGTCCTTTGCCATCAGTTACCCTCAGAAATCTGGTCCTAGAGCTGGGGGTGTGGCCAGTGGCAGCACGCAATATGCTCTATCCCCTGGGTCTGAGCTCCAGCAAAAGCAAAAATCAGCTTCCTGCCCTGATGGACCTTAAGGATACGGAGCACCAAAATCTTTGGGAACCTCTGGATGGAGAACTTCTTTATACATCGCTTTCTGGCTCGGCAACGACAGCATGTCTGGAAGGCAAGACAAATGGTGCTGGAAGGAACTTGGGGAGAAATCAACTCCCCAACTGACCTACCGCACTGGCTTGGTTCTCATTGTCACTGAAGGGCAAACGTACTGGCTTCTCATCACCATCAAGTATATCCTCTTTGGTAAAGAGCCTCATGCAGTCCATCAGTGTCACCTCAGGGTAACCTCTCTGTAGGGACAAAAACCAAGGTAAGGGTGGACGATGTGGAAGGGCAGGTGTGGGTGCCCTGAAGCTGGGGTGAGAGGGGAGCATACCTTAGCAATGGGCAGTGAGAGGTCCCAGAAGGGATCGAAGACCGTAGAACAGTAACCACAGTCAGTGCACGTCAGGGAGCTCTTCAGCTGCCCAACAAAGAGATCTGGGGAGGAAAAGGCCAGCAGACGCTGAACACAGGCTGGGCCCTGGTCCTCCTCAGGGCTCCTGCCCCAGCTTATCAGATGTGGGCAGAGAGGCAGGGATCCTGGGAAGAAGAGGAGTCCTAAGGGCTTTTCACGCTCTGCTCAGGCCAAAGCAGACACTGTCAAAGACACTCCCTGGTGCGCACTCACCCCCGATCCGACTGTCTTCCCGCTCCAGGTACTTCCTCCACATCTGTCGCCCTTTTTCATCATCGCTGGGAACACACAGAGGAAACCATGTCATATTTAAGGGTCTATCAATTTAGATCTTTAACTTTCAAAAGCAAATCTGATTCTCTTCAGATCATTCATCACCCCCAAGAAGTAGGTAAACACCCAAGCTCCCGAAAGCCCTGCTTGCCCGCAGTGTTTTCCCCTCACTTACGGGAGATGATCAAGGTTCTCGTGGCTGGACTTGGGCCTCACCGCCACTCGGTTCACTTCATTGTGGAGTCCGTCCAGGAGAAAGCGAAGGAACTCTTGAGCATCCTGCTGACTGAACACAAAGAGGAGCGTCAGCGACGCCTCTGCACAAGACCCTGTGCCTGCTGCCGCCCAGCCTGGAGGACGTGCTGCGGGGCCTCACTTGTAGCCAACGAAGCGTGGTGCGTATCTCTGGATCTGGGTCTTGAACTCAGACGGGCTCACCACGTCGTTGGGGCATGAAGTCCATATGGTTTGGATTAGCTTTGCGAACTCTGTGGGTAAGCGGAGGGCAGAGGGGGTGTGGAGGACAGGTGAGATGTTTTTAAATGTTTACAGTACATGTTGGCTGTACATAATGACGATCCTTTGGGGAGCTGGTACACACACGTAATCCGTTTGCATTTTTTTAACTCCCACTTGCCCTGCCTTCCTCCTCCTCCCACCATCTCGTTTCCCTTTTCATTCCCAGAGGACACCTCTCCCTGTAGAAAGTATCACCTGACATAATCTACTAAGAAACTCTGAAACTAGAATTCCAACAAAGTGTAGGAGAAAAAAAAAAAGAATACAGAAACACAGAGGAGAGGTGCATCTAACATCCAGCCGGCAGTGGCGCGCAGCACTGGGGTGACAGGGCTGGGGCCTCCGGTCCTCACCTTCCATGAGGCCTGTGTGCACACTGCTGGTGTGGCTGAGGTCCCTCATGTAGAGTCTCTGCAGACAGTAATCCCTCAGCTCCCGAGTGTTGCTCAGGCACTGCAGAATGGAGTTCATGAAGCACTGAAAGAGACCAGCCAGACCATCAGCGCTCTCCGCGGTTTGGAGCATGCCCGAAGGCCTGTGTGTTGGAGGCTTGGTGCCTGGCCTGCAGACCGCTGGGAAGTGGTGGAAACTTGGGAGGTGGGCCCCGGAGGGAGGCCGTCAGGTTATTCGGGCTGTGTCCTTTCTTTTGTCTTTCCAGTCCTGGCTATGAAGTAAGTGGTTTTGCTCTGCCGTGTTCTCCTACCATGATATGTGACCACTGGCCAGGCCTAGGGCCACTTGACTATGGACTGAAGGCTCCAAAAATGTGAGCCAAAATCAATGTTTTTTTTTTTTTAATCGGTACCGGGGATGGAACTCACGACCACCTGCTTGCAAGGCAGGTGTTTATGCTGCTGAGCTAAATCCCCAGCCCCCAATCAATTTGTTTTTTTAATAAAATAAGCTTTTCTTTACAACTTGATTTATTGAGGCCTTTGTTACAGTGACTGAAAGCTGACTAACAAAGTAGGGAGAGAAGACCCTCGTCTGGTGTCTCTATTGTTTGGTACCAAAGGCTCGGGTTCATTTACCCAGCAGGGAGCCTTCTCACAGCTTCTTTTTTACTTCTTTTTCTAAGTGAAAGGGACGAAATAAGGCCCCTCTATAGGCATGAGTGACACAGCTGGTTATTTACTGTAGAGGTGTGCAAAAGGGTGTGGGCGCTGGGCACAGAAGCGGGTGGGGGGAGACAATGGGTGTCCCTGAAGAGAAGGAGCCAGAAGAGCAGCCAGCTCACAGTTAAAGGGCAACTTCCTTTTAGCAGTGCTTTGGGCTGCGTGTGGGTGAGCGAGGGCCTGGTGATCCTGCGCACCATCAGAAAGGGCAGGTACCAACTGCCTTAGCGCAGAGTCAGCTGCAGCCAGGAGGGGACCTCTGGATTAGCTCAGTCAAGAGAGTGGAAGGGGGCCCCACGAAAGCAGTGGACTGGGAAGAACTCACCGTATTCCCAAGGTTTCGAAGGCCAGCCAGACCCTGGGGGCTCTTTGAATTCTGTAAGCAAATAACACACGGCATGGCATTACGGATGAGGCGGATGAGGCGGAATGAGCTGCTGGTCAGAGCTATGTGATACATAAGTATCTTTCTCTCTTCAGGACTAGTCTATGCATTTTGGAGGAAAGACTGAGAAATGGCTGTTATTTTTCAACATACAACAAAAATACTCTTCTGGACTTTGCTTTCAGGACTCTGTATCTCTCCATTTTTATGTTGCTTCTTATCACAGTGAAGACTGGTGATTAGAACCAGATAACAGTTCATAGATCTGAGTACATATCTGATTCCTGGTTGCAAGAAATTTTAAGAACCAAATCTAAGCGCTATCTCCAATGACCTATATTTGTACTAGATGCCCAAAACACACAGCTATCACAACAGGCTCTTCAAGGTGGTTATAAAAAGCTGAATGACAGGACACACTAATTGAGTTTCCATCATCAATGGGGAAAAACTCGAATCTCTTCAGCTTGGAAATCTCAGGTCTGCCTGCCATTCTGAGTTGTCAGAGACAGGTGGAATTCCTTCTGGCTGAGCTCAGCTCCTACGGGCTAATTAAAGGCTGGGAGAATCCTCCCTGCCTGGCTCTGGTTTCAACATCCTGACTGGCCAGTGGCTGGGGATCCTTGAGATGGCAGATTGCACCAAGCAGAGGGAAGCACCTGCTGCAGGTGGCACCCTTCCTCTTGTTTCCATTGTGGAGGGTGGTGAGGGGGTTGGAGCGGGAGCAGGTGCTCGATCATGAACCTTGAGCATTGTTCCTCAAGGTTTTTCTGTAATCTGGGGCAAACCCCCAATGAGTCAGAAAACCTTCAGGCCGAAAGGGCTTAAGGAACAGTTTGCAGATGAGTCTGCCACCCCCTCTTCTCAGGGAGGGGATCTGGGAGCAGGCAACTCTGGAGCAACACTGGCTGGGGCATGCGTGGGGCCAGCTCAACCCCGATCAGAACAGGAGCCTGAAATAACTCAGCTAAAATTACTCATGCTGTGTGCTGTCAGCCTCATAGGCTGTCAGCAGCTCAAAGCCCATGAGATTGTCAGCTTGAAGGGGGGAGGTGGGGATGAGCGGGCTGAAGGAGGGCTCCTCTCAAGAACTGCCTCGCTTATCCTACATGCAAGAGGATCCCTGCGCTGGCCAGTTGTCAGGGCCAGCATCAACAGGAAGGGTCTCAGAAGAGAGACCTGGCTTAAACCTGCAGCTAAAGAGAAAGCTTACTGGCAGCAGGTGGGCTGTGAGCTAGCAGTATATGGGGTACCACACTAAATTTGAATCTTACCTAGAGGATAGCCTAAAACCCCCACGATTCTCCGGTGGCAAAGATCTTAACAGCATTTTCAGGCAGAACTAGTGAAAGACTCTCCCAGGCCCCAACGAAAAATGCTGCACGCGTTTCCATGTTGCCCATTTGGAACGAAACTGACACGTTAAAGCGTGCCCACACAGAATGCCCACTCTTACACTTATTTTTGGCAGTGCTTACCCCCTGTGCCTCAGACGACATCTGTCTAAACAGGCTGTAGCTGCAAAGCATTCTACCACTGGTGACCATGGCCATGTCCGTCAAGCAGGGCCCTCAGCTGAGACAATATCACTGAGGATGGGAGACAGGCGTCATCTGTCTACAGGGGCACCCCTGACTTAACTCTTACCCAGCAGCTTGAGGGCCAAGAGCACTCAGTCCTCTTGGTTCCTATTCCTGAGGATCTAGAACTTCTACTGGCCTGGGAGAGGGGGAGATGGGAGAGGCTCCTTTAAGGCGTCCTTAGGACCTGTTGTTGATTATTTGTTTGTTTGTTTTAGGGTGGGAATTGTGAGTTAGTTTAAACTTTCCTGAGCTCAGAACCACATACTGATTCTTAAGCGTTCTGTGTAGATGGTGGAGGGGTAAGAGGGGCTGGGGGTAGGGGCGGAGGGGAGAACAGGGCTGCTGCACACCCAGCCTGATATCCTGCCATGGACAAGAAGACAGGAGTTCCAGGGAAACTCAGCACTTTCCATTACAGAGAGGAACAAAACGTCCCAGGAGTGACCTTTCTTACAGGGCAAACAATCCTAACTCAGAGCTGGCAGGGAGGGAGAGGCTAGAACTGGAGGAGGTGGGACAGTCCCTGCAAGGCCACCTCTCGCAGGCAAGCAGAGGTAGTGACTGCAGCTGTTACCCTGGGACTCTTGTGCAGATGCGCAGATTTTGGATCTGCTTTCTTGACACTCACCATCAGTAAACCTGGTTTGATTCGTAGCAAGCACTGGTCTAGACAGTAGGTGCCACCTTTGCAGCCACTAAACAGGCAGCATTCCCCTTCCAGGGCAGGAACTGCGGCTCAGAGAGTGGCTCCCACATTAATGCAGAGGTGGCATCTAGAGACTGGGTCAAGAAAGGCCAGCTGAGGTCTTATCTTTACAGAGACTCCAACTATGGGCCTTCCTGCATGCCTCACCTGTGCCACAAGGGTCAGCCACGCATCCTGGCAGCGGCCAAGGAGCTCGGTGTGGCCCTGGCACGGGGTAGGATAAGCACTGCCAACACGGGCGCTGGTGCCTGTTACATAAGATCTGTCAAGCCCAGGCCCCTTCTCCCTTCTCCGTGGGGACAGCACCCATCTAACCCCAGCGTTCCTCTGGGCAGCCGTTTCAATCCCTGGATTCGCTGTCCGCTTGGAACAAGAGAGGACCAGGAAGAGGAGGAAGTTGCCCTCTTTCACCTGTCTCCAACTCCTCTGCCCTTCACAGGGTCAACGGACCCTGTCGTTAAGCTCTGGAAGAAAGCCCTTAGGGAAAAGATGGTGGCCCCTCTGACCTGCCTTCCTTGGTGGGCTTTGGCCCTGTAGTAGTCACCCACAGAATCCAGCCTGCTATTCTCTGCCTGTTCTGTCACACGCCAGCTCCAGTCAAGGTTACACTTTCCCGCACCTGTCCTGATAGGTGCCAGGAAAGAGGAGGCCGAGAGCCACCTGGTGCCTGGGGTATCGAGAGCGACGGGGTAGGGGACTGGGACCTCGACAAGAAGAGGGGGCTGCAGGTAGGCTTGTGGTCACCTGGGAAGGGGGCATTCCTGGTCAGGGGACCCTTGGAAAGGTGGGATGGGAGCTGGGAAAAACCCGATCCCCTCACCGAGGGGCGCGCAGTCGGCTGGCTGGTGGGGGGAGCAGGACTCGGCGACCCTTCGGCGGCGTGGAGGTCCCGGCAAAGGGCCCCGCGTACCTTAGCTTTGTTGAGCAGAAGCCCCACGAAGGTGGAGATCAGCAGGGACGGGGAGAGAGGGGAGCGCGGCCGCAGCTCCTTGGCGAGGGCGGGGAAGGGGGCGGCGGGGGGCTCCTCGGGAAGGGTCACGGTGTAGGAGGTGCGCATGCTGGGGGCGGGCGGTGGGCTCGGCCCCAAGCCTAACGCGGGCCACGGGGGCGCGGGGAGTCCCCGCACGACGCCACAGTCAGGATACCAAGGCGAGCGAGGCTGCCAAGAGACACGATCCTCGATGGCCGGCAGTAACCGTAACGGCTGGCCAGTCGCGCGCCGCTCCGCCTCAGCCTCCGCCGAGAGCCGCCAACCGCCCGGCCGCGCTCGCTCTCCAGCCCACAGGCTGCCAAGCCGGCGCCTCGGGCCCTGACGTCACCTCGGGGGCGGGGCCGGCGCCAAGTCCCGCCCACCCGCCTCCGGCACGCGGACCAGAGCGAGGTCGCCGGCCGCTGTGCCGGCACCTCCCGCGGCGTGCACCCCTTCAGCTCGCTGCAGAGAGCTGCAGGCTCCTGCGAGGGGCAGTGTCGCGGCGTGCCGGCCCGGTCGGCCTGGGACTCGCGCAAATCGCCTTGGAGACCTAGTGTCAAGAGGGTGGGCTTCTGTCTGGGCAGCATACAATTTCCAACTTTTTTGGGGAACCTGGGGAGCTGTAGATTATCTTGAGAACTTGACAGAAGTTCGGTACTGGCTTCAAGGCAAAATGCACACTGCATAAACCTCCATCCAGTATTCAGGGGGTCTCAGGCCCTCTGGACATCCAACATCTACACAGTCCTTGGGGTTCAGGAGGCCCTGGTTAAGAAGATAAATTTACAGGACTTTGGGACTAGCGCCCCTCTTCTTCTTGGCCTAGTTTGGTCCGTTATCGAGAGACAGTGCACCTTCATTAAGGTCCAGTAGGTCACTGGTCTTTTTGGCTTCAAGAGAGAACCTTCTCTGGCCTCTTCTAACCAATTACCCATTTCTACCTCTCCTGGAACCTCAAATTTGACTTTTGTGTGGCAGGTCCGGGGAGAAAAGGGCTGCCGTTCCACCCTAAGTGCAGCAGTGCTTACAGACCAGAGGTCTTTAGGGTTTTATTTCTGATGCTGTGCCCCCCACACCTAACAGAAAAGCTCAGCCTAGAGAAAGTGTCTTGTTTGGAGCTCACTGGCTATTTTTAGCAGTATTTTTAGGCTTAAAAATACTCAGAGAGGCAGCAGTGTGTGCTGTTATTCATCTATGGGCTCCTTCTGTTCCTCCTGGTGGGCACATCCACACATGTACACGCACACTGCACACATGATCACAGCCACATGGGGATTATGCCCGGGATACATGTGTGGGCTGTGCACAAGGCCACCCACAGAACAGCAATTTCAAGTGCTGCTGGGAGGGAATCAAGAGGAGTCTAAACCCCTGCACCCTTCAGAGCAGGGGGAGGAGCTGCAGGGCATTCTGCCAGGTGATCCCTGAAGATGCACGTGTTAGGAGGTGTGATATCCAGCCCTAACCCAACCTGGTCTCCGAACACAGTGACAGCCCTTTTCTCCAGGCTTCCTTCTTTCCAGTCATACCCTTTCCAGCAGGTTTTAACTGTGTGCACCAGTATCGCATCTGATCACATCATTCCTGCTCTGAAGCAACCAGTGCGCCTTGCCAGACCCTCCGGGAGCTGTCTGTAAGGCTGTCTCTACGTGGCCACCTCCCACTGCTTCACCCTCATGTGCTCCTCCTGAAAGCAACTGACCACCTTCTTATCCTGTGGTTAAAAACCAAAAATTAATCCCAGCACTCGGGAGGCTGAAGCAGGAGGATCGTTGCAAGTTTGAGACCAGCCTGGGCTACAAAGTGAGTTCAAGGCCAGCCTGAACTGCTTAGTGAGACCTTGTCTCAAGACTACAAAAACAAAGAGCCGGGCATGGTGGCTCATGTCTGTAATCCCAGCACTTGGGAGGCTGAGGTAGGAGGATCGTTGCGAGTTCGAGACCACCCTGGGCTACAAAGTGAGCTCAAGGCCAGCCTGAACTGCATAGCGAGACTCTGTCTCAAAACAACAACAACAACAACAACAACAACAACAAAAAGAAACAACAAAAATAAAACTGATTCTTTATTAAATGCCAGGCTTTGGTCTATGGGTTTATATATCCTAGCTTATTTCCATAACCGTACTATGAAGTACTATAATTATCCCTATTTTATAGGCAAACAACCTTATGTCCAGAGAGGTCAAGTGAACTGTCAGGACTGCAAAACTAATAAGAGAGGAAGCAGTGTGTGCTGTTACTCATCTATGGGCTCCTTCTGTTCCTCCTGGCGGGCACGTCCACACATGTACACGCACACTGCACACATGGTCACGCCACATGGGGATTGTATCTGGTACACATGTGTGGGCTGTGTACAAGGCCACCTACAGAGTTTGAACCCAGAGTTCAAACCCAAAGATCTTTGAACTTTGAACCCAGATCTGCCTTACAGGAAAAACTCATGTTTTTAACAAGGACTAGAAATCCTGGGATGCCCTTCCTGCTCTCTGCCAACTTGTAAATTTTGCTCATAATTTATATCTTCCATAAAGCCTTCCTTAGTTAACTCCATCCAGTTCTAAACACTCTTATTACTGCATATTTCCAGTCTTCTAGCACCCAGTTTGTGTACTACTAATTTATCTTAATATGTTTATCTTTGATTTACAAGTGTTTCTCGGAGTTCTGTAAATGGTCTTACGTTGTGTGTGGCTTGTCAGAGTTGTGCCAATTCACTAGAGCCTCCTCCAGGGGAGGGTTGTCTGTGCACTTAGTGAGATCTTAAAGAAGAAGTCCCAACCACGCTCTGCTGGGAATCCCCCAGTCTCAAAGGGTGGAGCGTAAGTCTGGTTTTGCCCGCTGAGCAAGTGCACTGTGGGTGAGGCAAAGGCCCAAAGGTGCACACTGACTGCAGCTTCTGGCCTGTATTTCCATGATGTGACGTAAGCACTGCAACCCCAGGACATCCTGGCATTCTGGGGAAGAAGAGGTTGCTGGGAGTAGGCGGGCAGATGGGAAAGCGCTAGTACGCACGCGCATTGAGAGGTCTGGATAAGGGAAAACAGCACACAAGGGGTCCAGTCCTACCCAGCAGGTCCAAGTGCTACCAGATGCAGCCAATAAAGGACTGTGGCTCATTTCCTACCCAGTCAAGTTCCTATTAGTCCTTGTCTTTTCAGTGTCACTTTTTGAGTGGGGACAAAGTTGACAGTCTCTTGGGATCTGAATCTGCCTCAGGCTGTAGACTTTTTTCTTTTTTATACTAGGGATTGAATCCAGGGGCTTTGCACTAAGCTTTATCTTCAGTCCTTTTTAGTTTTTTGAGGCAAGTTTTTTTTTTTTTTTTTTTGGTACTGAGGATTGAACTCATGACCTTCACACTCGAAGGCAGGCACTTATGCTACTGAGCTAAATCCCTGGCCCTTTGAGACAAGTTCTTGCTAAGCGGTAAGTTGCCTAGGCTGAGCTTGAGCTAGTGAGCCTCTTGTCTCAGCACCCCAAAATGCTGGGATTACAGGTGGGTGCCACCATGCCTGGTTGTGACTTTTCTTTGTGTCAAATACACGAAACTCATCTGAGCTGGGCTCATTCCTGCAGCCCACGCCTGCATTTCTGAGTCCGAGCTTGGCCTGCTGCTCAGATGGGATAAATGATTTCCTCCACCTCAGGTCTTTCCTGGCATGAGACAGATTATACATAAAATCAGGGCTAGCTCTGCTGTTCTGCTTCTTCACATCTGAGTGAGCAGTGTGGTCTAGGATTTGGTGATAGTTTTTGGGCTCGGGTAGATATTTCAAGGCCAGTGCTGATGGGACAGACTGGTGGCTTAACTGATTGGCAGGTGATCTGAGGCTCTTTTAGGAGGTCGGCTTTTAGCCACTAGTGTTCCTTGGGGGAGGAGGAGTCATCCACCCTCTCTACCTGCCGGAGGAAGCTGTGCTTCCCTGTGTGACTTGGACCTCCAGAGGCTAAATGCTCTGTTCTCCTTCAAGCCCAGGGCAGCCTGGCTGGAACCAGCCAGATTCCAGAAGCCACACACTTCCTCCACTTGCCTCTACCTCTGTCTGGGGTGCCAGTTTTATGTAGTCACTGAGGTATGAGGGGACAAGGGGTCACATGTGTAGCTCAAGGCTCTGGACACAATGTTCGTTTCCAAAGCCAGTGGTCAGTGGAGCGGTTCTCCCAGGGGCAGGGAACATTTTTCCAGGCTTGGATTAATTTCTGCATTGCTAAGCCCCACTCCGGCACCACATTAACTCATGGAGACATCCAGGAGTGGGGGTGGAGAGGGCAGGGGGGATGGATGGTGCTGGGGACCAACTGAGCAATGGAGTCTGAGTATGGCAACTTCAAGGCCACCAGGTCACAGCCCACAGCAGAGCTTCACGAGAAGGGGACATTGGCACCTTGCTATTTCTAATCACAAGTCACAAACTTGCTGTCTTTCCTCCCAGGCCAGTGCTAATCCTGCTATGGGAGTTGTCTCCCTTCATGTCTCCTCTGAGTGACCTTGTGTGGCCCCCAGGAAATTTGATCTCCTTAGAGTGGCTATGTAAGCCTGGGAGCTAGTGAAGACAGGCCTTAGGGTCTCAGGCTGCTAAGCTACACAGACAGGACAGCAGGGTGTCCAGCATGGCTGAGTCCCTAGAGTGAGAAGGCCAGGGACAGAGAAGAAGGTCACCTTCTCGCCCAAGGAGCTCTTAAGCTCCTGCCTTTCTCACCTTGTTCTCTGCAGAGAACCTCAGCTTGCTGCGGGGCAGCACTCAAGTCCAAAGTCCCACCCAGCAGCAAAATCACATGACCTCAGTTTATATAATCGCCCTGTTACTGAACAGCTGGAACCCAGGGCTTCAAAAGATGAGTCAGCAGCCCCAGTGGCAAATAGGACTCAGGTACTCAGGTTCCACTGCTCCTTAGAAGCAGGTTCTGAAGCAGAAGGCAAGGTGTGGAAGAGACTGGGGACCAGTGAACAGACTGGCTCAGAGCCTCAGGCCCTGATGCTGTGTCCAGGAGCAGGTTCCTGGCCTGCTGACTGCTGGGGAGGGCGCTGGGCTAACCCCTGGCTCTTATTGGGGAGGGGAGGCCTGGGCGGGACCAGTGCAGGGCTTCATCCAGCAGGCAGAGCGCCAGGGCTGGCAGGGAGCAGCTGGAGGGGTGGAGCCGAGGAGGATTAGGAAGGATTGTAGGGGTTAAAGCGCAGTCCTGGCAGGGTTCAGTGGGAACAGCTTGTCCTACCATAGGCCTGGGAACAGAGAGGTAGGGCAGAGGGGGTGGGGAGGTGGTTGGGACTCGGGATCCTAGTTCTCTCCACCGGGCTGAGCCACCTGGGCTGACCCGGGAGTCCCCAGTGGCTCTCCCTTCCCCATCCTTGTTCCTTTTGACTCATCCGTCTGGGTTTGAGGCAGATAGTAGAACCTCAGGACAGCCCTTCATTTTCCCAGGGCTGAGCTGTACCCCACAGTCCGGCATTCTGTGGGTGCCTACACACGGGGACAGAGTTACTCAGAATTTACATTCCTCTGTCAATTCTTTATTCATGCTCAGTGGAGTCTGTCCAAGTTCACGTTGGCTGTCACTGGTAGTGAGGGAAGGAGTCTGATTGGAACTGTTCTAGTCCTGCTGGAGGGCCTGCAGGTGACCTTCCTTTCTGAAACCCAGCTGTAGTTCGGGTCAGCCATCCTGAGACACCCTGCTGGTGGTAGTGGGGTGCATAACTACAATCTCAGCATTCTGGGAGCCTGAGGCAGGAGGATCACAAATTTGAGTTCTGCCTGGGAAATTTATCAAGATGCTGTAAAAAAGCCGGGTGTGGTGGCTCACACCTGTAATCCCAGCACTCGGAGGCTGAGGTAGGAGGATCGTTTCGAGTTCGAGACCAGCCTGGGCTACAAAGTGAGTTCAAGGCCAGCCTGAACTGCATAGTGAGACCCCATCTCAAAAAAAGAAAAAAAAAAAAAAAGATGCTATAAAAAAAATGTAGGACATAGTTCTGTGCAAAAGGCTTTGGGTTCAGCCCCTATTACTTATTAATAATACTTATTAATGCGTGTGTGTGTGTGAGAGAGAGAGAGAGAGAGAGAGAGAGAGGTGGAGAGAGACTTTGACAGATCTTACTCGATCAATTTTGTTCCTCTTACATGGGGATTCCTACCCTGTGACCCCACCTCCACCCTAGTCAGTGCCCTTTTTTTAAAATCACCTTCCCATCCCCGGGTTTATCTATCTTTTCTTTTTTTAGCCCTGGGCATTGAACTCAGGGCCTCACACAGGCTGGACAAGTGCTACACTACTGGTCTGTGTCCGCAGCCCTCCTTTTTGAGTTTAAACAAACTCTTCTGCCTGTTTTACTGCCTTTGGATTCCTTCACAGTCATTATTTGCTTTGTGCCTCTTGGCATGCCTGTGGGGTAGGCAGGGCAGGTGTGATCACTCCCTTTTATGGATGAGGAAATGCAGCTCAGCTGATTGGTGTCCAAGGTTAAGAAAGCACTGTACCTGCCAGAGGTCATGGGCTACCTGCTCCAGCCTCAGATGACCTGTCCCTTTTCTGCCACTGCTAACACTTCAACCTGGGCAATCTCCTGCTGTGCGGGTTGAAGAATGTATTTCCCCAAGGAATTGTGAATGCCCAAGTCATGATCAATGGCTCAGGCACATCAGGGCTGACGTGTACCGAGCATTTACGCATCCAGTACCTTCTCATTCCTCACAAGAATCTGTCAAGTGGGAATTGTGGACATTCTTGTTTTACAGGTGAGGAGACAGGTTTGGAAGTGCAAGGACCTGCTGCAGTAGGCTAGGTGCTGAGTACTTAGCACTAGGCACCAAGCACGGTGCTAGTACGCTGAGCTCCATAAATGAAGGAGTGAGTTGCTTTTGGGTGGGAAATAAGGATGCGGGGGTACTGTGCTGCTGCTCTGAGGGCCTCCCTCAAAACTCCTCTCACCTGCTCTGAGTGGGGTTGGGCCTCTTTGGGAAGGGGCAAAGGGTAGCACTCTCCTGGGAGGGCTGGTATGTGCAGTGAGGAGGAGGCAGAGTCCCAGTGGAGTCTGGCTCCTGGTAAAGGGATAATACTGCTCTCTCACGATGGGGCGGAGGGGTGGTATTGTCTATAGTTGGCTCTATGACACTGAGGTTGTCAGCATCAATGTGTGCTTAGAAATCACCTGGAGGGCTGGTGACAAGGACATGTCCAGGCACTATTCTGAGAATTAGAGTCAGTGGGCATGCACTCTGCAGACCCCATTTGGAAAAAGCACTGCAAAGTGGGGAGCTCCTGACAGGCTCTGAGGACCTAGGTTTGCACTGAGACCACCGTGGACAGCATCATGGCCAATGGGATGCCACTCTGCCCCAACCATGGCATGCTGTCTTCTGAGACTGTTATGTGTCTCCCATCCCAGCTCTGTCCTGATACAGTCTCATTTCTGGCCACACTGGCTCTCCAGTAGCCAGCCCTGCCTTGACAGGATCCGAATGTTCGGGGAGACACAGCTTCTGTGTCTCCCACGGCACTTCCCAGACAGCCCGGCAGAGCCAAGGCTCTCCAAGAAATGTGATCAGTGTCCTCTCAAGATCTCTAGTTATGACATAATTCACGGTCTGTTGGCAAGTGCCTCACCCCTCACCCTTGACCCTTGCTCTGCTGGCCTGGAGAAGTGCTCTAAGCAGCATCTCTCACTGTGGCACAGTTGTTGTTGTTTACAAAAGGTGTGTCTCATGGCAGCGGGGTGCTACACAAGGTAGTAGAGGACACACAGCACCCAATCCTCCTATCTGTATGCTTGCTTATTCACCTGCCTGTCCATCTGTTTGTCTGTCCGTTTGTCCGTCCATCCATTCATCCACGTACCCCTTCCTTCCTCCCTCTCTCCACCCACCAGCCCACCCACACACCCATTCATCCATACAATCAGCTAGTTCCCTGCTGTGCAAGACACCTGGCAGAGGACCTGGAGACGGGATATTTTTACAATATCGAGAGCTCGCCACCTTATGGGCACACTAATAACTACAGGAAAGGCAGACCATCGCAGTGCCCAGGAGATGTTTGACCAAGGATTAGATGTGAGGAAAGCTGCACCAGCCCTTGGCTAGACTCTGTCAAAGCCTTTTCCATCCCAGGCAGGGATGGAATGCTGAGGTATTAGATCATCTCAATCCCTACTTTCCCCATTATTTCCTCCAAAGACACAGGAGTCCTGGGATCTAGACACTGTAGGCCCAAGCCCACCAGTGTCAACCCCTTCTCCAGACGTCTTATACCAACACCGGGAGGCCCACTTGCTACAGGGAGCACTGGTGGTCTGGGAGCCTCAGCATCAAGCCCCAGATGGGGCAAGGCCTGCAGAGGACCATGACATGTTGGGTGGAAAAGGACAAGGGGAGAATGGCATGGTTGGATAGCTAAGCATTCCAAGCACACTGCTGGGTCACCCTCAGTTTCGCAGGTCTTTGGGGGACATCAGACATACTGAGATGACTTGTTTCTCATTTCTCCATGGGGACTACTATTGATCATGAGGCGTCTGTCCCCAGCCTGGCTCTTCCACATGGCTGGCTGCCTCCCCAGCCCATTACTAGGTCCCCAAGGGTAAACTCACCGTAGTGTCTCGCCCTGGGGAGCTGGAGCGGCTGGGCCCAGGGATCTGGCCCTTTCCCTTCTCCCACAGCATGTATCGGCCACTGGGTCGGTAGGTGGGACTGAGGACTTCAGGAACTCGAGAGGGAGAGGCCTGCAAGTGCATCTGGGGTGCGCTGCCTTTGTGCCCATAGTTCTCTAGGTAGTCCTCCACGTAGTCAGGGCGTCTGGCTGCCTGGTAGAGGCCTTGCAGGGCACAGAGCTCCTTTCGAGTGCGGGCCAGCATGGGGCTGCGGCCCAGGGTCCCCGAGTCTATCCGGTAGCTATCTGAAGTCCAGTAGCTATCTGAAGTCCGGAGGCTGGAGAAATCCTGGGCCAGGTCTGAGTGGCTGTTTGATTTCTTCTGCGTCAGGGTCATTCCCTGGTCGCGACTACTCATGGGCAGGTAGCTGAGGGAGTTGCTGGTCACTCCATAGGGAAATCCACTGCCCCCGCTGAGTCCGCTGCCTGAAGGCCGCTCAGTTCCCCGGGTCTGGCTCTCTGCCCGCTTACTACCCCCGAAGTCGGGTCTCAGCAGGGGGCGGCCCCGGTCATAGTCCAGGATGGAGGAGGGACCATAGGTTCTGGGACGGGGAAGGAAGCTGGTGGGGGGGCTCGGCTTGAAACTGAGCTTCTCCCTCTCCAGGAAGGAGGCAGCCAGGTTGGCCCCATAGGAGGAAGGAGTATAGGTACCATAGCCTGATTTGGCGTAAGGGGCATCTGTGTAGCGGGCTGATTCTGTGTAGCGCTTCAGGGTGGAGGAGAGCTGGGACATCCTTCAGGACAGCACTCAGTGGGGACTGGGAGCCTCATGGGCTGAAAGACAAGGAAAGGAGGTGTCAAAGGGCCCTGCCAGGCGCCTGCTGTGCCTACTCTGCATCCAAGATGGCCAGGATCTTAGGGCTCAACCCAGACCACTTCCTCAAGCAACTGGCTGGCTGCCGGGACACGCATGTGTACATGAACGCGGATGTGCACGCAGCCTTGCACACATCATGTATTCGCAGTTGCGCCCATGTGTTCAGGAGAGAAATCGGCATTAGCGTGTCCTGGCCACTCTGAATTCTCCCTTCAAAGATCCAAACATGAAAGTAGGCTGTGTCCTTTGCAGCCCTCTAAGCCATCCATGGTCTTTGAGCTAAATCCCATCTGGTTCTTCTCCTTAGCTTCTTCAGAGACTCCTGAGCTGGGCTGAGAACGTGGGACATTTCAAGAGTTACGCCAGCTTCCAGCCCTCTGGCTGAGGTGACCATCAGGAGACCTGCTGGCATCACAGGCTGTCTGCTGGAATGACCTAAAAATTGTGGGGTCAGCTCCCTGGCCAGACAAAAGAGGCGCAGGAGAGGAAGCGCTGGGGAAGTGGGTGGAGACTCCATTCCAGAGCTCTTCCCTGGAAACAAGAACCGCCGCTTGGTCCCCCAGTGGAGGATACTCCTATGGCAGAACCCAGTTTCTCACTGATCTTAATCTTCAGTTCTAAGCAGAGTCAGTGCCCTGTGGCCTCTCAGGGTTCTTCCAACAGGGCTATCAACTTGCTCCTGGCAGTAGTTGACTTGTGCAAAGGGGCCCCCTAGAGCCTAACGTCATGCACTGCAGACGCACTCCCAGGTGTTGGAACCTGTCCTGTTCCCGAAACCCCTTTTCTTGCAGCTGATGGGAGTCTGGTGAAGGAACACAGAAATCACTGAATGGAGAGCTAGGAGGGTCCTAAAGGACCATGCACTTTAACCTCTCGATTGTACTAGTGGGAAAAATGGTACTAGTTAGTCCAGGTCACGCCCTAGCAGTCAGATCTTTCAGGATGCACCCAGCCCTCTTTCCACATAGTTTTGAGTTGCCACCCCTATTGTAGGTGGGGGTCCCCCAGAGTCTTTCCAACATCTCCGTATGCAAACTTTATCTCCAGAGGAGCTGGAGTGGCAGAGGTGCTATGGGGGAGAGGAGCAATTAGAGGGACGCCCCTTTTTTGAGGGCCTGAGGAGCTTGTGGTTGGGGGCACTCCAGAAGTCTGAGCAGTGTGTGAGCGGCTGGTTTGGATTCCCTGTGACAGACTAGCTGGCCAGTTTTGCACTCCTCATTTAATCGTTTTGAGCTTTAATTTCCTCACCTGTGAATGAGTATAATAATTACCATCATGATTCTTGTCTCACAGGCTTGTTGTGGAGAATAAATGAGATAATAACACATGAAAGCACTTAACAATGACTGGTTATTATCTCTTCCCACAGCCCCTGCCAGGCAGCCTGGCTCCTCCCTTGGTAGTCTATAATAAAACCAGGGCTGGCCATCCTCTAACCTGGCCGGTTCAACCTCGGCTTGGATGCCAGGCTTTCCTCTGTAGCTCCCAGTGAGATAAGTGACACACAGCAGGCCCTTCGGCAGACACTGGCTTGGACAGCCCATAGGCGGCCTTAGGCCAGCAGAAGCCCAGCCCAACAGGGCAGAGAAGAGCCAGTGCCAAAACCCAAATACTGAAAATTTGGCAGGAAGTCCCGGAAATCCAATCCTAAACCAGGCAAGGCTTGGGATGGGCGCAGGAATGGAAATGAGCAAGTGGCAACTTCCATGTGGACCCCAGAACAGCACTCTCGGACTCTGCCAGGGCTCCAGTGATGTTCATGCCGGCACGGGGCAACCCTATCCCTTCACTGCCCTTTTCTTACCGGCCCAGGGGACCTCCACCCTCCTCCTCCACTCACTTGTGCCCTCTCCTCCCACCTCCAGGCGTTTCACACCTTTCTAGGAACAGGGGGCTGATCTCAGCAGGGAAACCACAGGGGAGAGGCAGACTAGAGGCTCACAGGTAGGTACAGGGGACCAGTCCTGCTCTGTTTCACTTTGGAGAATACCATCAATAATGCAAAGTCAAAGAGACTCCAGGTCTCAGGAGCTGGGCTCCTGGACACCAGGCAGCCAATCAGATACACCCCACCTCCAGAGAATGAGCTCATGGCTCCTCCCCACCACGGCTCTCCCTCCCCTTCCCCAGGCTCCCAGGCAATTGGTATTCTGTGGGCAGTGGCCCAAGCTGGTGACCTCTCCTGGCCTTTCTGATGACGCAGAAGTGCTGGGGCCAAACAAGGTACAACAGACAGGGACAGACAGTCCTGGAAGTGTTGGAGGCTGGGGGTGGAGTCATACCTTCTGGCCTCCAGAATCCCAGTAGACCTCCCAAATCCTGGCTCTCCTATCTGCTCCAATCTGGCAGGCAACTAAGTGCCAGGCCTCCTTCTCTCCCCAGCAGTCCTGGGAGTCACGGTATTACTAATACCCCCTGGAAGCTGCCATTCAGCTCTGACATCTGGCTTACACTCCCATGTCTGAGAAGATGGTTTTGCTGGAGCTGAGGCCTTGCACATATCTCTCCCTGTCACCAAACTCTAGTGAAACTCTTGAGGAAAGTTCCAGCAACTTCCAGGGCAGAAGACAGCTCAGGCTGGCACCCTTGGCATTACCTGGCACTGCTGTCCTTAGGGGCTGCAGAATACACCAGAGGCAGGAGCTGGGGCGGGGGCCCAGGCTGTGGCCTTGCTGCGCAAGACAGGGTCAAGACTGGCGCTCTCATGGCTGCGAGTCTCCCTGTTGCCACAGGAACGGCCTGGGCTGAATGGTTCTTTCATGGGGCAGTGGGAGGCCAGACGATTGGCTGGGATTTCCCGTACCCCTCCCTGCCCAGTGTGGGGCCTCTGCTGCCCGGCTCCTTTCACTGTTTACCCAGAGCTGGCAAGCACAGGCATGTGGCTCCAAGCAGCACCTCCCTAGGTGCCTACCACCTTGGACCACGGGGCCAGTCCCCTGCCCACAATCCTCCTACATGCCATCTTTACAAAGCTGCCTGGGTCTTTGTTTCTCTGAGATCCCCCATCGCTTTGCTCAGTTTCCCCTTCTAGGGAGGTACACCAGCATATCTCTGCACAGAGCTATTCAGCTTCCTGTGGGGACACCTGAGCCAAGCAGCTGTCACCTGGCCAGCTGGGGCTGTGCTCTATGGACCAGGCACCAAGCGTGCTCAGGACTTCACATGCAGCTTCTGATTTCATCTTCTAGGCAGCCTTACACCAACACTCACACGCCCTGGCTATGTACCCAGCATTCTTCCACACACACTCATGCGCCCAGTAGTCTGGAAGTTTTGGTGCAGCTGTGAGCTCAAACTCTTTCAGATACATAGATGCCTCAAACTTACAAACACCACAGGAAGGGTCAAAGTATGACAATTAAAATTTAAAAAATGTACCCACAATTCTGAAAATAAATATGCAAGAACTTTAGGAATTTTCTTTGAAGGGAACAGAGTGGGGGCTTAAACCCAGTGTGCTCTCATTCTAGGCAAACAACTCTGCCTCTGAGCTACATCCCTCATCCCAGCAGGGAAACTTTCAAATGAAGTTTTGGACATTTATACTACTGGAGGGACTGACACTTAAAATTTTGCTAAGACTTGCAGTACATGTATTGACTCACTTAATCCTCCCAGGTGCTATGATGATGTCCATTTTCAGAAATTAGGGTTCCTGGAAGTGATGTGGGTCTCCCAAAGTTAGGCTGGGAGCAGTAGCAGAGCCAGCTTGCGACCTGTGCTCTGCCTGCGACAGTCAGCAGAAAGCCACGACCCTGATTCCCACTTCCCGGGGCTCTCCAGGGCCTGGGGCAGGGGTGGAGACCTGTGGGGGTGGGGTAGGGAGAGGAATGCTACAGGTTCCAAACGTCTACTACCCAGAAATGGCATGGGGGTGGCAGACAGACTCCCACAGGAGCGGCCCTCTGGATTTTCCACCACAGGGAAATGAAAACGAAGCCAGGTGCAACCTGAGCACCAGCACAATTCTGATCAGCCATGAGATGGTCCAGGAGGCCTCCATTTCACCTGTGATGCCAAGGTCCCGTGTGTCCCCTGTCACCAGCATCTCAGGGTCACTGGGCCCAGGCCTGGTTATGAACATGCACCCCACCCCCAGCATATACTGGCCGAAGCATAGCCCATTCCCCAAGGTCCTATACTAGGTGAGTCAGGGATTAAAAGGAGCTATGTTCCCTTGGGGCAACCAAGCTCCTTGCGTCAGCTGGTCAACCACTGTCATTTCCTGTAGCTCACGTGAAGAGCTCCCTAACCTGCCCAGCCACGGGAGGAACTTGCTCACCAAGAATCCTAGGCACTCCTGGCCCTGGGGGCAGGGGGTGGGTGATAGCCCACATCCCAGCAGCCTCATGGCTCCTCTCTTCCAAGATCTGCTGTCTCCTGGAGTGAAGGCATGCTGGCTTCTGTGTGACCTTGCCACTGTCTGGATGGAGAATGCTGAGCTGAGTTTCTTGGACACTCCTAAGCAGGGTTAAGTAATTTTCCTCTTACCTAAGTGCTCAGGGAAGGTGAGCTGGGAGTCCCAGCCCATCTTGCAAGGTGCTTGGGAACCTCCACTGGGGTGACCTCAGAGCTTCCCAGAGCTCCTGGCTAAATGCGTTGGAATGCACTGACCCCAAAGGGTAGGAGGGTGAGTGAGGAGCCGTCTCCCTCCACCCACACTCTCTGACCCTTACTCCTAGCTGCTTGGTCCCTGGCTACACTGGGTGGGCACAAGCACCCAGCCCTGGCAGGTGCAGAGGATGCAAGCGGCGGGGGGCACCTCTATCTACTGCTCTCAGGCACCAGGAGCCTCAGCCTGCCCCTCCTCCACCTGTCCTAGCAGTTCTCTGAGGCCTTAGTACCTAGTGACCCACCAGCTTAGTGCCCCATCCTCTTGCCTGCCTTGTCAGGGGTCATACAATGAATGTGGGTCCATTTCTGTCTCTCTAGCTTCTGGGAGGTGGTCAAGGACCGAGGAGTGGGATTCGGGGAGGTGATATAAGAGACTGGAGATTAAGGCAGGTATCCTGATGGGTGGAGGAGTAGATGGGCTCAGGTCAGCATCTCTATAAGATGCTTCTTGGTTTGGCATCAGGAGATGTGTATTTTATGGGTCCAAAAGGGGAAAAAAAAAAAGCCAAGAAATGGGTCTCCAGGCAGGTATCCTCCAATTCTCTTTCCCACTCACCCCTGCCCAGGCCCTGTCCTGGTCCCCCACCCCAGGAGGGGAGCCCCATCTCCCTCACTCTCCTCTTAGGCTTCAGCCATCTTCTGTCTGCCACTGCAGTCTTTGGTCTTGTCCATGGCAGGCAGCAGGCCCAGTGGGCGGGCGGACTTTCCCATGCTTCCCTGAATTCACTCACACCTGTCCTCTAGACAGCCACCCTGAGAAGCTCAGCTACCAAAGGAGCAGCTACTGACCTGTGTCCGGGGGCACTGGAAGGGACCTAGGGGCTTCTTCCCCAGCAGGGCAGGGAAGGCAGTGGAGAGGCCAGAAGCCGAGTCTGACTTGGGGCTTGGTAATCCGGAGCTCAGGTTACGGCTCCGATATATATAGTATCTTATCTGACCTCGAAGCAGAGACAGCAACTCACTTGCATTCCAAGCCCCAGGAGAATTAAAGGGGCAGTGGCATGCCCACCTTCTGCCAGCTGTCTGGCTGGACCGGGGCTAGTTAGGAGATCTATCAGGATTCTTGGGAGGGGGTGTTTTGAAGTAGAGCAGTAGAGAGACTCAAGGGGAAACCAAAGACTGAAAAGAAGGTAGAGGCATGGAGGGGGGGGGGAACTTTAGCCAAAACCATGGAGAAGGTGGATTCTCCGGAGCTGTCAGTCACAAAATTAGAGTAGAAAAAGAAGCCTTATTGCTAGCTCAGCCTCTGGGCTTTTGAGAAAAGCAGATCTAGCTCCAGGGTGCACAGAAAGGCGAGCAGAACCGGCACTCTGGTTTCAGTCCACTACAGTTTTTTTGTTTTTGTTTTTAAAAACAGGGCTTGGCAAGGATTTACTAAGTATGCCAGGTTGACCTTGAACTCTAGATTCTCCTTCCTCAGCCGCCCCTGTGCTAGGATGACAGGTATGCACCACCTTGCCTGGCTTCAGCCTGCTACTTTTTAATAATGAACTTCTAGGTCTAGGCCCGAATTCTGGTTCTTTCTGTTATTGGATCTGAGCCAGCAGCAAGTTACTTAAGCTCTCTGAATCTTACTTAGTCTGTAAAACAGGATTATAATAACAACACTGTGAGGACGAAATAACATATTTGTACATTTCTTGACACATAGTAAAGATTCAATGATGATGATCCCATAGATTACCTAGTTTACCTGTTCTACTTAGCCATAGTAGTAGTAGTAGCAAGCGACCCTTCCTAGACCGAGAACCGTCCTAGCAGAAAAGGATCTCGCGGTTTCCTTGGGAGAGTGCTTTGTCCCATGAGAATGGTCCCTAGTTTCTCGAATTGGTCTGTGTCCCTCAAATGGAAAGGGCAAACATGCTACCCGGATGTCCGTCCAGTCCACCAAAGTGACAGACCAAGCCCATCCGGGCTCCTGCTTTTGCCTCCATGAAGGTGGCAAATGCAGCTTTCCCCAAACCACCCGGAGAACGCCTGGACTCTTTGGCGTGGCTCCACTCTACCTGTTCAAGAGCTCGGGATTCCACCGCCGCAGAGCTGGGCTGGCCGCAGAGTCACGAGAGGAAGAAGCAGGGTTCTTGGCCTCTCTGGCCTGGCTGCAGCTGTTTGCTCCCAGGATGATTCTCCTGTTTTTCGATGGCTCTCCCCGAGGACTGGGAGGGCCCAGGCTGACGCCTCACCCTGTTTCAGTACCCGCCACTGACTCAGCTTGGGTCCCCATGAGACACTGCCAAAGACGCCCTCATTCCAGGCCTCATTCCAGTCTGGCACGCGTCTACACACAACATCAAAAGAGTGGGGATGCCCCACTGTAGCCCAGCCACCAGCTCGCCCTCCTCTAGGTTTCCTGGCGGGTCGCAGATGTTCTCACGCCCCTGTTTGGGGAAAGTGGCTCCTACCGTCATCTCCAATTCGGCCCTTGCTCTGTAAGCACCCAGGTTAGGAGTTCCCCTGTTCACTCCCGCAGAAATGTTGGACTGGGTTGGCCAGGGCTTCCCTTGGCTGTTAAGTTGCTTGGCTGGGGCACCACCTGCCTTTTTCTGATTTGGGATTGGTGAAAATTTCAAAGTTGCCTCTTTCTGGTTTGGGATTGGTGGAAAATTTGTCCTTCCGCTTAGCTGCTGTCCTCCCCCTCCCCCCTCCCCGCTTTGGCGAACTGACCAGAGACAGCACCGGGAGATTTAGGAGCAGAGAGTAAGTGAGCTGCACGCACACCTGGGGTTGTCCGTGTCCAGGAGTCACTCTCAGGCCACATCTGCCAGAAGGCACGGAGACCTGGACCTGCCAAGGCAGCGTTCCCTGAGAACACATTGATCAGCACACACAGATGGCTCTCCCTGGCACCCTGGGCTGTCAGCTGGCAGCCCCTTCGTACACACACAGCTGGAGCTCCCCCGCACAGCTGGCCCTCGCCCTACATTTCTAGCGGCCTTTCTGCCGAGGCTGTCGTTGACATCTCACTTTCTGAACCTAAGACTTACATTGACCCCCGCATCCCCTTTCCCCGATCTCCGACAGGTGGCACGTACCTGCCGCTTCTCGGAGGATGGACGAGTCGAACCGGGCACAAGCATGGAGCTGCGGGTGAGTCCTGGCTGGTACTGGGGCAGCTCAGCGAGCAGCAGCTGACGCAGAGGGCTCCCTGGCCTGGGCTCCTGCTCGCCTCTCCCCCACCTCCTCCGGGGGCCCAGAAAGGACCTCCCGGGGAAACCGGCGCCACCCAGCGGGCAGCCACCTCATCATGCCCTGGCTGGCGAAGCCCCACCCCGCGTCGTGCGTCACCGACATACGTCACGGCTATTGGCTTGTTACTATTGTGATGTCATTAGAGCCCCGCCCGGCTAGGGTCTCCCAGGCAACAGATATACACAGAGAACCACGTGGAGGAAAAGCACGCCAGTTTGGAGAGGGTGGAGTACAGAAAGAAATTGGACTGGAATGTGACGCTACTGGGCAGCTGGAAGGTATTAGTAGTTTCACGGTAGACGGCTCTGAGCTTGAGCCCCGGTGCGTATCAACTTTCGGATTTTAGGAAAGACTTCACGTCTGGCTCCTTTCCACTAAAATGGGGGAGACTCTGTTCTTCACCTGCTTCTTTTCGTCTCCACTTTTTTTTGGTCTTTTTGAGAAAAGGTTTCACTAAGCAGTTCAAACTGGTTTTGAACTTACTTTGCAGCTTAGGCTGACCTTGAACTCACAGCGCTCCTCCTGCCCCAGCCTGCCACTTGCTGGGATGACAGGCATGCAAGACACTACTCTCCCCTGT